TTACATTGGTTTCTGAGCTTATACTAATTATTTTGTGAATTTTAGTTTTTTGAAACTAGTGACTCCGCCGGATGCGATTAGTCCGACCAACAAATTCTTTATATAATGTCATTAGGTAAACAACTCAAATCTATATGCCATTTCCTATCCATTATTGTCTAGGTCATCCTCCAAGTTATTATTAATAATATAATAAACAATAATATACATTATCAGGGTAATGTTTATAAGCTACCCGATTTTTTTTCACTGAAAATTTTAATAATTTAATTTTTGCTCCACCTTCATTTAAAAATAGTTATGGTGTCTCTGTTGAAAAAATGAACTTAATTTCTCCTATCATTAAATTTATTCTCTATAAATTCACATGTATCTTTCATTATTTTTGGAGGGGTCGCGACAGATTCAAAAGGTAATACCATTGAAATATAAAATAAAATATTATGTACCAACAGGTTTGCGTATCAACGAAAAATCATTGAAAAATTAATAAATAAACACTAAAGGGTTCACTTTATTAGGAGCAAAACATTTTGATTTTTCAATGAGTTCCGGTTGCAGCCGATAGACACGACAGTGCAGGTTATTGGGTAAGTTTTGTTTAATATTTGAAAAGTGAGAGTTTTAAACATTTAGAAATATTATATTATTGAGCCATAATCAAATCATGTTTTTTTGTATACATGACGCATTCGAGTGTTTCTAAAAATAATCCACCGAAATTAAAACGTGCGCGTGTGCGGCCGAGCATTACTCGAAGTTAGTGTGTATGCATACCATCAAATGGTTGAAATAATAATACATTTCATGAAGAATACAGTGAGATTCTGAGACGTCATTAATTATTTTGGCTGACGTGCAGAATGAAATGATTTAAATTGTTGTGTTTTAATGTTGTTTTTGAAAAAGCTGAGAAACGATCTGCGTTTACTGTTTGATTGGATCTAGTGAAGTTCAATGAATTAACACAAACTGTATTAAAATAATAATTTTAGGCTACGTCGAACAATTGTTGAATAAACGCGGCCATTTTAAAATGAAGGTCTTTCCTAAAAATTGATTACAGTGTAAATACCGAAACATTTTATTTGTAATCGAATTATACACTTTTACCGAATCTTATTTTAAGACCAAGTAAGCAAATATTTGATTGACCAATAAAAAAACCCACCGACACGCATGATTACCATCAACAGTATTTTAAAAACGAAAAACGCCTAAATGTAAAAAATATTGTGCCTTTAGTTTTGAAATTAAAAGTTTGTCGCATGTGCGGCACCGAATGGCCATGAAAATAATGCGACTGAATAAAATAAACAGATGTCAACTATTAGCATACATGTTTACATGTATATAGTGTCCTAGGCCGTCATCCACACGCTCTTCAACTTGTCATAAAAGAATTACAATTATTTTACTTTTATAAGTATATGTCAAAGTATAATAATTGTAACGACACAAGATTGCGTTTACCAAGTCGACGCGCGGGTTTATTATGTTTAAGGCGATATCATACATTTTTAAACAGCCCGCAGGTACTCGCCCTAAGCATTTTCCGATGAGAACTTTGTATTTTTTAATAATACATGGCATATAAAATATTAAATAACGGGTATATCTCGGAAAAGTAATAATTTATTTATTTAGTAAGCATGCTTTATTAAATCAATAGTTAACGTTCTTCGTGGATCTGCGATCCGAGGAAATAAATTATATTGTGCAATGCTGCATAAGCGGTAATATTATCATATTAATTATGTTAGGCTCAACAACCAGAGTGTCTTCGATGGAAAATACAAGTTAGAGTTGAATTTAAAATATATGTAAACATGTCTAAAAAGTTACTTGGTAAATTGTGAGCCCTGTTTATTTCGTAACTATTTTCATGTATAATACACTTGTTGACAAGTAAGTAGTTAAATTGCATAAACGGAACGCCTTTTAATGTTTTGTTGCGAACCTGGTTATTACCCAGCCGTAGTAAAAAAATCAATTATTTTGTATATATAATTTTAAGCCCTATGACTATAATTATCGTTGAGAGTAACATTATTTATGCACTGTGTTCAAAAGGATAATTGTACTTTAAATATTTATTAGTTATAGCATACATTTTTTGCAGACACCAATTCGAGCTCAATTTAAATAATTTTGCCGTCTGTATTAAATAACCAATTTTATAGTCAATTTTTAAATTAAATATTTAAAGATGATTTAATGCCAGATTAATTTTATTGCAAATTATAATTTTAATATTAAATTTAATCATTTATTTTGTCATAATAAATTACTATTTAAATTTTTGCTTCAGGACATTTTGATGGATACAAGAAATTTAAATTTATTTATATTAAAAATTCATTTGAAAAAAATAAATATAAATTTTTTCTTAAAGAAAATAACTCTTTATAACACTTTCTAAAATTTAAAAGTATAAAAACAACAGTTCAAGTTTGAGAAGTGTAAGTTTATTTTTCTTAGAATAATTTTAGTAAGTAACTTTTGAAAACAAAATTCTATCAACTCTTTTGACATTTGACCAAATTAAAACAGCATAAAAGTTTTTACTTATAATTTGTAAACTTATTTGAAATTTAAACAATTTGATATCTTATCATAACGAAGAAAAAACAGAAAAATAAATTGACTTGGCAAACAAGTTGAATATACGTAGTCAATCTAATATAAAGAAATAATTTTTCTATTTATTCAATTTTATCGCTCAATAAACACTGTTTAATAAACTATGTATTTTCGAACATGGTCCATGTGATATAATTTCATTAAACGCTTTCTATGACTCAAATTTTGAAGTTCCGTTTGAGTCCATTAGATGGCGGAACAAAATATATTATTCTTCATTTTGTGAAAAAGTAATATATTTTATACTTTTACTTGTAAAATTTGATTTATTGTTAAAATAATTAAAATATTTCTATAATAGTGATTAACTTGATAACACTGTTTTTTTAGAAAAATCGCCTTTTTATAAATGATTTACCATAAGCACGAAAGGAAACCAGAAACGTTGTATTTAACGAACAATTGATTATATCGTTGCTAATACTTTCGGTTTTAATACAATACATTTTAACATGCTAATAATCTATGTTAATAATAGGTAAATAATATAGAATATATTATCCAAAATTATTATATAATATTATTTTGATAAATAAAAATAACAATATTATCATGCTAGTAGGAAAAGTTACATTTTAAAATTATCAAAATTTACTTAATTAAATACACTTAAGACTCGGGATCTTTAATGGATATCTCAAAATATTTTTGTCTTTGATAAATACTTAGAAAACTAACTATACTGTTAATTTTTTTTTTTTAATTGTATGTTATATTTCAGCTAAAAACAATGAATTAATATAATTAGAACAGTTATTATTATTCATTCTTTTATCGCTTTATACTTTTATCGTCTAATTTGTTGTGTATTCTTATGTGTTACTGCATTTGCTATTTAATGAATTTATTATAATGCTGTGTATGCATTTTTTAAAGCCGGAACAAACACATGTAAAGTGATCTAATATGCATGATCGGTAATTATTGATTATTTTAAAAAATGAGCTATTGATTTTATAGTAGTTTTGGGATTTATGATTTTTAATTTTAAGGCTAATAAAAATTATATTAAAATAATACACGTCTAATGTCATCATCTGAAAGTAATGATTTCTTTACACCAAAATATATTTATATCGTTCACTTAACACACCGATTCGCTGGATCTCAGTATATTAGACATGAGAAACGAGTTTAATTTACTGAAGAGTTCATTAAAAATTTAATAGTATTTAGTATTTTACATACTACACAATACTTTTTTATGATAATTTTGATTTAATTGAAAGTATGGAGAAATAATGCAATAAGGAATCTCAAAATAGGAAATTTATTAAAATTTTATAATTTTCGTGATCAGTTAGTAGTACTTTTTGTTAATGAGAAAACGAGGAATTTTTCCTTGTCTAAAAGACAAGAATTAGTATGTTATTGTTTAAGTACTGTACATCGGCATGAACAGTAATCCCACGTGACGTTGCGACGCATTTTAAGTATTTTTAGGCGTATATTTTTGGACGAATAGTATAATAGTATGCTTTTGGGTCTCAACACGTGACGGAATATGCCACCGTCGACATCTGGTCTTTCTGGAACAAAAAATAATTCCTATAGCGAGAAAGAAAGAGATACTTGATTGGATAAAAGGATAATATAATAGCAAAGGAAGGAACCAGTGATGAACGACAAACCAGTTTTCCTTAACACTAGAGGAATAATATTTCCATTCAAAAAATTCACGTTGATCATATGAAAAATGTCCTTTTTTGCAAATGTTCTTTGTAGTTGTACGCTATGGGTCACTTAGTTGTACGTGATATTTTAGAATTTACACTCGGCAAACAATGGTGGCAGAAAGAGGTTGCACTTAACGGATTTACATAGTTTGCATTGAATAGTTAAAAATAATTTAATTTTACTTTACCATTTATGACACGGGGTATTATGATAAATTATTGTTTATATTTTATAAAGCCGATTAAATTTTTTATGTGAAATCAGTGAGCTCTTTTGCGCACTGGTATCCCGGAATCTGTAAAAGACCGAAAAACTGATTTGTTGTTATTTTTTTGGAACATCATGTGGACGCCAAATGTTTGTAAATAGTCTTGTGAGGACGTCTCTACATCAAGTGTATCTCAGAATAAACTTTTTATTAGGATTGCTCTATTATTTGATTTCAAGTCGCACTCGCTTGCTAATTTGGATTTATTATCGAACTCTATGTTACTAATTTCGTATCCTTTAAAAATGATTTTTGATCCGTTTATTGTAAAAAATGTTACAGCGGCCAATTCGCCATGTAAAGGACCGGTTTAGGGACCACTGGGCGGCGGCGGCGGCGGTGGTCGTGTTCCACAAACATGTGTGCGGTGGGCAGCGCGTACGCGTACATGCTAGGGATGAGCGCGTATCATTATTATCATCACCGGCACAGTCGGTGCATCATTGACGTGCGTATACTATGCTAGACGCCCGTCGTCCGCATTCAGCAGTCGCACAGCAGTCCGGCCGTCCGTGAATATGACCGCGATCACCGCCGTCCTCTGGTGGACCCTGTTGCTGGCCGCCCCAGCCAGGCCGGAAGTGCTCACGCCGCCGTACTTCAACTTGGCCGAGGGCCGTCGGATCACAGCCACCGCTACTTGTGGTGAAGGTCTTCAGGGTCCTGAGCTATACTGTAAACTTGTGGGTGCCAACTCTGAGCGTAACGTTGACTACGAGGGAAATCTTGTAATTCAAGGACAAGTAAGCGATTTCCCAATAGATTTATTTGAGGGGTAGGCATTTTGAAATTGGTTAGTTTTATGGAAGCTTTACAAAGAAATGTTCCTTATGGTTTTCGTATTTGTACGAAATCATTTAAAAACCGTCTAACGAATATATTTTAATTGTGCACCACTTTAAGCTTTCTATGTAGGACCGTCTTTAAGGGGGTTAATGGTTGCACGTGTCTCAGGAGTCGGGACGGACTAACTTCTCGTCTCAAGTATAAATGGTTAAGAAACCTTCTCTTTAGGAGAGGCTACAGTTGGCTGTAAAAAAATAAAACTGGAGAAAATGCTAGCCGTATTATAAGTGTAAAAACTCGTATATATCATGTATTGAAGACCTTTTATTTTACTCTTCATTTGAAAAAAAATAGAGACCGAAATAAATGAGTTTTTCATAGAATGGTGCAAATTTTAAATGCTGCAAAAGTCTTAATTGTTTACTTCATAATGTATTTTTCATCGTTAATGTAAATGTGTTACGAGTTCACTTTTGTGAAAGACACCAATTTTAAATTATTAGTCTTTTAATAAATCCATTCTATATCAAACAAAGTAGACGTAAGTTAAAAAATAAGTTGCCATTCGGATGATTACATGAAAAAACTGCATTTTAAATTATTTTCCTTTGCTCTCTTAACAAATTAAATATCAAGAAAAAAGGGATATTGCAAATTTTGAATCATTGTATTCATTAAGTATAAATGAGTAGGTAGATCAATAAATTATCACTGTTCAATGAATATTTAATAAATTTTTTTATTATTATACATCTAATATAAATCATGAGAGTAATGCCAAAGTGTCAAATTTATAAAAATAATAGGTATGAAAACCTTTTCTTATATTGTCAATTCACTGCTTTTAAATAGCGTTTTACATCCTTAATTACACCCTCGAGAATATTTTGAGTATATTATTAATTATAATTACACCACAATGGTAGTTTATTACAAAGTTTGTCTTCTTTTTCTATGAAACAAATTTTTTTCTTACTAAAAAGCTCTTTAAAAATCAACCTCCATATAGAAAAGCTAATGTTATTTATTTCGAAGAAGTACGTTTTAGAATAATAATTTTTACGATACAATTTTTTAGCCGGTAATTTCTTTTATAGAAATATTTATCTTAACTTACTTCGAAAGTAAAATGTTATATTGAACTAATTATTCATTTTTGTAACACTAAACAATCTATTCTTAGTCTAAATATGGCCAACAAAAGGAAATTAAGTTAATAGCAACGTGATTATTAATTACGAATGAAAATAAATTATCACTTATTATACTTTCATCAGGAAGATGTTAATAAAATTACCAAACATGTAAATATTTGTCTAACCACCGAGTTACAAGTATAACTAATCAATAACTTTAGTGGTCAATATAATAATAATATATATTAAGAATGATCGGTTAATCATAAACCACTCGATTTCTAGTAAAATAAATACAATATTAGAAAAAAAAATTGTATTTCTAATAGTTACTTATAATCCTTGATTTTCCAGCTAATAATGAAATTTTAGAATCATGTAAGTTAAGTAGTGTAAAATTTATTTTTTCAAATGGAAACATATAAATTTAATTAATTTGTAAAATAGATAATTATCTAATTAAGAAAATGACGGGTCGACAACAACTTTTGGGCCAGTATTTCAAAAGTTTTTAACAATTTAAAGTATGGACAGGAGGTGAAGAGTGGGTGCTACTATTTTTATCACTAGTGATTTCCCGTCAGTCATTTTTCGTCTCACCTTGGTATAAAAATGAGCATAACTTCTGAAATACTGGTCTAAAATTTGTTATCGACCCGTCATTTTCTTAATTAGATAATTATCTATTTTATAAGTTAATTAAATATGTATGTTGTCATAACAAAAAAAAAAAAGTTGTTAGCCTTTAAGCTATAAGGGATGATTCTAATAAGTCATTATTAGCTGATAAATCAAGAGTATATGTAACTATAAGATATCAACACTTTTTTTTCTAATATTATATTCATTTTGTGAGTAATCTAGTAGCTTATGATAAACCGATCACTGTGTATATAAATTAGTTTACTGGGAATGCTGAAGGATGTGAACTGGAGGGTCATTTAATTCATTGATAAAAATATAATTTGATATCTATTACATGAATAAAACGCAAAGTGATTTTTACATTATATACTATAGTAATATATTTCATAAAAAAATACACAGCAGTGGTTATTTTTTCAAGATTTTAAAAATTTTGATTTTATTTTGTTTAATGATATATTCATGATTTTATAAATATGATATAAAACACCATAGTGTATTTGCTAATTCTTAAAAAAATGTATCATAAAATATTAGGTCAAATTTTTGCCATGAACAATGTATAATGTATAAATATATTTAAATAATAATAAAGTCATTGTTTTTCACTTTTATTTAGCGAAGAGAATAAAAATTTCTTTCTGTAAAATTTAAAATTTTTTTTCTCGATAACTAATCGATAGTAAAAATATTGAAATTACTTAGTACTTGTATCCATATGTTTTAAAGTTTTTCTTACCATATTTTTTATTTTATTCCATAATATTAATAAAAAAGGAATATTATTGTTTTTTAAATGTTCCATAGTAATAGATTTTATGTTTTTTTTTTAATATCAATTGATTATTTATTAATAAATAAAAAAATCAGTTGTTGATATTAAATATCAACAATTAATATTTTTTACAGAACGTATATTTTATGTTCATTGCAATAAAAATGAAATTTTATTACTTCCTTGATAATACAAATGTATATTATATAAAGTTAAATGTCTTTAAAATACTTCAAGTAAAATTCAAGATGAAAATTTAATTTAGGTTAGTTATAATTTTTGTATTCAACATGTTATTTCAAATACATCAGTAGGTGTATGTATAGAGTATAAGCTTATGTTTTGTACACAATTATGCTATTTATAGCAATAAATTGTATTTATATAAAAAAAAATGCGTTCGATAAGCAATGCCTTGTTTAATAAAATGATTTTTAAGTGCCAGAAGTAAATAAGTCTATTGATAATTTGTTGACAGGTATGCGATCATTGTGATACTAGTCGTCCAGACAAGTCACATCCTCCAGAATATGCGGTGGATGGACAAGAAACGTGGTGGCAAAGTCCACCGCTATCAAGAGGCATGAAATATAACGAAATAAACTTAACAATCGATTTAGGACAGGTAAAACAAACATAAAAACAATTAATTACTGTTATTCAAACTCGATTAAAATCATTAACGTGTATCCGAACTATGAAATATTAAATATCCTATTATTAGGTTTTTAATAACTGAAAAGTTGAAAACTTTTTGGAAAAAGGAATGAATTTAAGAAGTAAAATAATAATTACATAACTTTAAAAAGTATTAAATAATGTTCTACATCCTGTTGATCACGTCCAGGTAGGTGTAATCTATAAAGGTCGTGTATGGTTATCACATAAAAATGGCCAACTCGCTGGTGAGGTTCAATATACTAGTAGCTAGATAAGATAACAATGAAAAGTCCGTCCTGTTGGCCTACGTAAAGTTGGTTTTCCGCTGTTCAAAAATTGCGGAAACGTGACCAATTCAATATTTTGCTTTTTTATTAAAAAAGTTTTAAGTGAATTTAAAAATATTATAATTTTATGTTAGTCGATTTTTTTTTATATTGAAAATATTTAATTTAGAAAAAAATATATTTTTTATATACACGTAACACAAATTTTAAATGATTTTTCAGAAGTGTATATCACGTAACTTCCGCTAAACAGATTATTAAACCATAATGAGATAATATATTTATGACACTATATATTTAAAATATAGTGTTGTTTTTAAATTCGTTACCAAAAATATTATATTGAATATTATTAATAGTAATTAAAATTGAAAACAAAATAATTAAATATACAGAGTGTTTAAAAGGAAAGAAACAGATCAATTGTTACAAATATAACCCTTTTCCTTACTTACATAACACCCCATATATGTGTAAGAATTATTATGATTAAAGTTAATAAGATAAAATATTTTATGACAATCTTTTATGGGACCTATTTTGACAATTTGAGTTACATACAAGTACATTAATTAAGCTAATACTATTTCGCTTTTTTATAGTTGTACGTATAAATTCTAAACTCTAAAATTTTAAATTCTAATCTTTTTCCGAAATTTAGGTCGATATTTTAACTGTATAATTGGCTGAAATGTTCAATATAATATATTATTAAGCATTATTGTAGTATTACTTTAGTAATATAGTATTTTACCTGTAGGAATTTCATGTAGCATACGTTGTTGTAAAGATGGGAAATTCTCCTAGACCAGGAGTTTGGGTTCTTGAGAGATCAGCTGATCATGGTCAGACTTATCAACCATGGCAATATTTTGCAGATAACTTAGCGTGAGTAAATAACACCTAAAAATAACTTATAGTAGCATTTTTACTGTATTAGCCACATTTTATCGATTTTATTATTGTATTTTAATATTATTTGTTGCATTAAATTAATTATAGAAATACTATTTTTTTTTTAAGACTTATCATAATTGTACATTAAAACAATATCAGTTTTTATTTGAAATTTGATTAAAATTTGTCTATCCTCTTTCATATTATTGAATATTACTTTTATGACTTAAAATAATACTATTGTTGATATATTATTTATGAAAAATCACATAAATAATTATGTTTCACTGTTTTCTTTACAGAGATTGTGAGTCATTTTTCGGAAAAGATAGTATTAAACCCATTTCGTCTGACGATTCAGTAACTTGTGAAACTGCTTTTTCTAAAATAGTTCCATTAGAAAACGGTGAAGTGAGTCAATTAGATCATAGAATTATAAAATTATCTATAAAACCGGGTTATCCTGAACTGTATGTTTTTTTTATAGATATTTGTGAAACTTTTAGCTAATAGACCTTCGGCTAATAATTTCTTCAACTCGTTTGCTCTACAAGAGTTTACTAGAGCAACTAATGTAAGGTTTCGATTATTAAGAGTAAAAAATTTGCTTGGTCATCTAATGCCTGTCGCTAGACAAGATCCTACGACAACTAGAAGGGTATGAAATATGAAATGTTTTTCAAATATTCATGATTTAAATTTTCACTTTGTATTACTATTTTTAGTACTTTTATTCTATCAAAGATGTCAGTATTGGTGGCCGTTGTCGTTGTAATGGTCATGCTGATTTATGTGATATTACTGACCCAAATGATTCATATAAACTTATATGTCGGTGCAAACACAATACGTGTGGACATAATTGTGAGCGATGTTGTCCCGGCTTTCAGCAAAAAGCATGGAGCCAGTCAAAATATGACAAACTATTTGAATGTGAACGTAAGTAAATTGTTATCATGTTACAATAATGTTTTAATTTTTAATGAATTATATTTTAAAAATATTCATTTTTTAGCTTGCAATTGTTACGGCCACTCGGAGACTTGCATCTATGATAATGCCACGGATGCCGCTCATTTATCAATCGACATTCATGGAAAGTATGAAGGAGGTGGTATTTGCCAAAATTGTAGGGATCACACTATAGGAATTAATTGTGACAAGTGTGCGAATGGATATTATAGACCATTTGGAAAACACCTAAATGAGACTGACGTATGCCAACGTTAGTATATATATATATATAAAAAAAACTTTAACACACCTTAGAAATAATTTTTTTTGTTTAATTATAGCTTGCGATTGTAACCATTTCTATTCTACTGGAAATTGTTCTGAAGGATTTGGAAAATGTGAATGTAAACCCGCCTATGCCGCACCAGACTGTAAATCTTGTAGTGAAGGATATTATGATTATCCTGAATGTAAACCATGCGAATGTTTTCCAGAAGGTACACGAGGTAAACAATGTGAAAATAACGGGGGAATGTGTCCATGTAAGCAAAACTTTGGTGGACAGTTTTGTTATCAATGTGCTGAGGGTTTTTATGATTTCCCTGAATGTAAACGTAAGTTCTGATAGTAAAAAAAATAGCAGCAAATAGTATAAATAATATTGATATTGTTTTCATTGTAATTTTTATGGATTTTAGCTTGTCAGTGTAATGAAGTAGGATCCAAAAATGCTATTTGCGACCAAAAAACAGGTCAATGTGCTTGTCTCAGTAATTACGGTAATCAGTCTTGTGATCAATGTAATCATGGTTATTATGGATTTTCATCATGTTCATGTAAGATTTTAAAACAATATTATTTTTTAAAATATTAAAATAATATAGAACAATTAATTTAATTTAAGATTGTAACTGCGATGCAATTGGATCATTGCCAGAAATTTGTAACAAAGTAAATGGACAATGTTTGTGTAAGGAAGGATATGCAGGTCCTCGATGTGATAAGTGCTCACCTGGTTACAATGGATATCCCGATTGCAAGCCATGTGGTTGTTCAGAACAAGGAAGTGCTTCTTCAGTATGTGATGCTTCAGGAAAGTGTCCATGTCTACCGAGTTTTGCTGGAAAATCGTGTGAACAATGTAGTCCCGGTTTTTATCAATATCCCGATTGCAAACGTAAGAACTTTTGCTGATTAGTAGCCATTTAAAATGTATTGTAACCAAATGGTTGAAAATTTTAGATTGCGATTGTAATAGTCAAGGTTCTATTGGTGTATCATGCGATAATGACGGTAAATGCAAGTGTAAGCCGAACTTTTCTGGAACGCAATGTAATCAGTGCAAAGAAGGGTTATATAATTTCCCGATTTGTGAAGGTGAATAAGATTAAAGTAGTTTATACAAATTAAATTAACTTTTTTTTGTATTTTTATTAGAATGTAATTGTAATCCGGCTGGAGTTCTATCAACATTTGCTGGTTGTGGATCTTTACCATTGGGTGAATTATGTCAATGTAAACCCAGAGTTACAGGTAGAATTTGTAATGAGTGCCGAGAATTGTACTGGAATTTAGAACCAACAAATCCAGAGGGCTGTCAAGGTAACAAGCATGTAGCTTATCAAATAACACAAGTTATTATACTAGACTTTTTTCAGAATGTGATTGTTTTATGCCTGGAGTTCTTAGTGGAGTAGGAGTGTGTAATCCAAAATCCGGTCAATGCGTTTGTAAACCTTCAGCTACGTCAAGAAGATGTGATGAATGCGCTGAGGGTTTTTATAGTTTGGACGAAAATAGTTTGTTTGGTTGCTCAGGTTTGTTCATATAATAAAAGGTGGTTTCCCATAACAAAATCTTACCATTGACCTCTGTTTTTTAATGATAGAATGCGATTGTAACATCGGAGGTTCAATAAATGAAAAATGTGATAAGACAACAGGACAATGTTTATGTCAGCCCAGGATTATTGGTAGAGCTTGCACTGAACCGATGCAAGCTCATTATTTTCCCACTTTATATCAATTTTTGTACGAAGCAGAAGATGGGAGAACTCCAGTATTTACACCTGTGAGATATGGTTTTGACGAAGAACTATTCCCTGAATATTCATGGAAAGGTTATGCTGTTTTCTCTCAACTTCAAGTAAAAAAGATTCATGTCATTAATGTATTGAAATTTAATTGAATTATGGTTTTAGAGCGAAATAGTTCATGAGATTAATATTGACAAACCATCTATTTATCGAATTGTTCTAAGATATGTAAGTCGAAGCAACGAAACAATAGTTGGACAAGTATCTGTTACACCTGAAACGCCTAATAATATTAATATTGAACAAAAATTTATGGTGAGTATATTTTCATAAATTATAAACAATGATAAAATTAATTTTTGAAAATATTTTTAGGTTCAATTAAAACCATCAAAGACGCCTTCTCTTGTTACTGTGTCTGGGGCAACTAATAACATACCTTCTCCATTTGTTATGAATCCGGGTCGATGGGCAATTACAATAAAAATTGACCAAGGGTTATTTGTAGTAAGTATTTTTTACTTTTAGTCACATTTTTATTTGTTAATATTTTAATTTTTACTTCAGGATTATTTTGTCATTTTACCTGCTGAGTATTATGAAGGTAATATTTTAGTTGACAAAGTATTAAATCCGTGCATTACAGATAACATAGAAGACAGTCTTTGTCGACATTTCGACTATCCAAGTATAACGAATTTTGACCAAGTTAGAAGTAATTCAGCTTTGATGTCAAATGGAGATGATCCCATTGATTACTTTGATGATCTGAAAGTATTATAATTTACTACCGGTTTATTAATATTCTTTAAGTATTTAATTAGGATTTATTGTTCACAGCAATTAGAAGTGTTAGGTTTACCAAAACTACCAATGATTAGTGAAACCCAACCTGAATTGAAACTTGAACTTCCAACTAATAGTCCTGGCCCTTATGTAATTTTGGTTAACTACATAACTCCTTCAACTGTTCAAACTAAAGCAATTGTAGATGTGGAAGTTAATGACAAAATTAATTCGGGAAAAGTAATTCTTTATGCGTGTCACCACACTACTGTTTGTAGACAAGCGGCAGTAGATGCAACTGGAAAAGTAGCTATATTTAATATAAACGACACAAATTCAAAAATTTTACTAAAGGGTGGTCAAGATCGAGGCCGAGTTGGTATAGATTCTATAGTAGCTGTACCTTTGAAAAAATGGTCTTTAGATTACATCAATCCCAATCCATCATGTGTTAAAAAAGATGGAAAATGCATACATTCCTTATATCCTACCCCACCAGATACGAAAAAAGTAGAATTTAAATTTGGAAACGAAGCCCGTTTAGCACAATCTGGTCCTAAAAACGTCAACGATAACAGTTCAGCATTGGTATTGGTTGATATGCAAGATACCACTGTCGATCTCGCTGGAAAAATACCCAATCCTGGTCCATATGTTTTTATTGTTCATTTTTATCAACCTGATTTTCCTAGTAAGTATTCTAAAAAATGCATTCCTAAACATTCGCTTAAATAATATGAACATTAGATTTTACTATACTTATTAAACATTTCTTAATAAGTTATTATCAATCATAAAAATCAATGTGATATATTTTATATTTTAGCTTTTGAAATGAGTGCACTAATTCATAATGGACAAACTTATGAAGCAATATTGCCTATAAAACACTGCCCATCGAATTCAGGTTGTCGCTCTGTTATCGTACAACCAAACGGCAATACAGAGTTTCATCTTACTGAAAATTTCTTACTAACTTTAAATGTAATTTGTTTCAATATTTTATTATATGTTAAAATACTTATACTTAATTGCGTTTGTACATTAGGGATTAAATCATGGAAGTGTTTGGTTAGAATACGTGTTAGTTGTTCCAGCACAAGAATATACAGAATATATAATCAAAGAACAACCATTTGATTACACTGGTTTATTTATATCAAAATGTGGAACTAATAATTTTTATATGAATTCATCTACTACAGGTAAAAACTACATTTTTAAAAATCTATTACCATTGAATATAATATATTACTTATAAAAAAAAATTATTTGAAATTATTTACACCTAATATTTATACTAATAATAAAATAAATAATTAAAAAATGATATTATGTAAATGTTTAAAATGCTTTTTTTATATAAAAAAAATATAAAATAATTTTTAATTATTATAAATATGATAAAATTTTCATGTTTAGGTTTTTGCAAAGAGTCCACTTTTTCATTAACAACAGCTTATAATAGTGGAGCTCAGCCTTGTCTTTGTGACTCTGATGGGTCATTAAGTTATATATGTGATCCATTTGGAGGTCAATGTCAATGTAGACCAAACGTAATAGGTCGACGTTGTGAGATTTGTAAGACAGGATACTTTGGATTCCCAGACTGCAAATCGTGTGATTGTCCTTCAGTTGCTACATGTGAAGCCACCACTGGAGAATGTATATGTCCACCTAGAGTAACTGGTAAAAATTGTGATCAATGTGAACCGATGACTTACGGAATCGACCCAATAATTGGTTGTGCGGAATGTAAATGTAACTATTTTGGAGTAGAAAAAGGAAATCTTCAATGTGACTTATTTAATGGATCATGCGAGTTAGAAAAAATGACTTTTATATTAAATTAATATACATAAATAATTAATATTTTAAAGTATTGTGTATATTCGTTGTAAATACTATTTATTTTTCTTAATTTAAGGTGTAAACAAAACGTTGTTGGGCGAAGTTGCGATCACTGCCGTTCTGGTCATTGGTCATTTCCTACGTGTTTATTGTGCGATTGTGATTATAGAGGAACAACTAATGAGATATGTAATCAGGTAAGTTATTATTTCAAGCTAAATTGTATAAACAGTTTTTTAATATCAATTTATTATTTTAGCTTACTTCTGAGTGTTACTGCAAAGCTAATGTATATGGACAAGCTTGTGATCTCTGTAAAGAAGGTACATTCAACATCCAAGAAAAAAACGAGGAAGGTTGCTCAACATGTTTTTGCTTTGGCAAAACTAGTAGATGTCAGAGCTCTAATCTTTATAGAACTGAAGTAGTCATACATTAGTTAATTTTTTGCTCTTTGTTATTTTAATTATAGCTAATAACTTTGTTTTTAGATAACTATTGTAGATAATTGGTTGATAAAAACAATTAACGTTTCTACTAAGTCTGTTATGGTAGAAGAGATGCAAATAACACCAGAGAAAATAAGTGATCAAGAATTTGGTGTAGACTTAACTGCTAAAGAATTAGAACAAAAGGTTACCTACTTTAGTTCTCCAAAAGAGTATTTAGGCAATCAGTTAAAGTCCTACGGGGGATATCTTAATTTTACCATACAATATACATCAAATCTGTTTGGAAATGCAGTGGGTGGTGCAGACGTTATTTTGAATGGTCATGATATATATTTACATTACTTTTCTTTGGAACAACCGGCATCAAACACATTGTTCCCGAATTCCGTTGAAATCGTCGAGCAAAGTTTTGTATTAACAAATGGATTGCCAGCAACTAGAGAGCAAATTATGCAAGTTCTTCAAGATTTACAAGCAATATATATTAGAGCTACATATTGGGAGCCATCTGTTACAACACGGTAAAATTGAATCATTATTCAGTATTTAATGTTTATATTATTAAATTTAAATTATTTGTCGTAGAATTTCTAATATATCATGGGAAACTGCACAAGAAGAATATATAATGTCTAAAGAGATTGCAACAGCTATTGAGCAATGTCAGTGTCCACCTAATTATGTGGGATTATCTTGTGAAGAATGTGCTGATGGATACTATAGAGCACAATCAGGTCCATATGGAGGATTTTGTGTTCCATGTAATTGTAACGGGCATTCAGCCACTTGCGACAAAATAACTGGAATATGTGATGTAAGTAGAAATGAATAATTTCTATCTAATTAATCACATTTTTAAATTATTTTATTTATATTTTATATTAACTCACTATAATTATTATTTTCTTCTGAAAATTAAAAAATTAGAAAACAAACCTTACGTTCATAATTATTATTTATAAATTTTAATTATTCATCTTCTTTATCTTCGCCTTTATCTCAACTATTTGAGATCAACCATCCTTATCTTAAACTTCGACTTAAGACGATCTCACACATCATCTACACACACATCAGCAGTTTTCATAATTATTATTAAAATAATTAAAATATTAAATATTATAAATTATTAAAACATATTATATAGAACTGCAAACATAACACTACCGGAGAACATTGTGAAAAGTGTATTACGGGATATCATGGTAATGCAACTATAGGCACGCCTTATGATTGTCTCATTTGTGCATGTCCTTTACCAATTCCTTCAAATAAGTAAGAAAATTCCTTGGTAGTTTTTAATTTTTTTTTTACAAAATATTATTAAATATATTTTTTAGTTTTGCAACTGGATGTGAAGTTAGCCCTGATGGTAATAAAATTAGCTGCGATTGTATCTCTGGTTATTTTGGAGCAAGATGTGAATCGTGTAATGCAGGGTTTTACGGAAGTCCCGAAATACCAGGTACATATTTATAATTTATATGCATTTTTTCAAAAATTCACTTATTTTTTACCTAATATTTATTGATATTGATTTTATTTAGGTACGGTGTGGCTGAGTCCGTAACGCGGCAGTGCTTGACACGCACTGCCTCGGGTTCGAAACTCAGTACTGGCGGCTTCATTTGCCGAACAAAAGATCAGTTCGGTATTTGGAGTCGCCATACCTCTCTTCGGCAACGGACTAACCACCCGTCCCGGAGTATCAATGGTTCAGAAACCTCCTTCTATGGAGGAAGCCGCTATGGCCATTAATGGACTTAAAATGCGTTAAATAAAAAAATGGATTTTATTTCATTTATATTTATTGATATAAGATTTTATGCACAATACAAGTTCTAAATAATTTTCTCCTTTTTCCTTGTCTTAATTCCAACTACTTGGGGTCGGCCACCCTTATTCTAAACTTCCATTTACACGATTACCCACATCATTTACGTTCGCACAATCGTCCTCATATCGTATTAAATTATATCCTTCCGTCTCTTTTTTGGTCTTCCTGTACTACTTCTTCCTTCAAGCATTCTTATCTCTGCTACACTCATTCTCTAGTCTAGTTTCTTGTCAACCACCCAACACTCTAAACCATACATTATAACTGGTCCCATTACAGTATTATAGAATTTAACTTTCAACCTCATTGGAATTCATTTATCGCATAACACACCAGACGCTTCTCTCCACTTTTACCACTCACACTTAATCCTGTGTCTTACATCATCATTAACACCACCGCTCTTTTGCACAACTGATCTTAAATATTTAAAACTTTCCATCTCTCTTATCACGTCTTCGCCTATTGTTACTGAACTTTTCATTTCACCTACCTCGTGTTCTCCTTTGTCAAACTTATTCTTAAACCCTTTTCTTCAAGAGCTAATCTCCACACCTCTAGCTTGTGATTAATTTCCTCCCCTTTTTCTTCTATTAACACTATATCGTCAGCGAAGAACATCTCTTTAAATACAAGAGAGAACGGTACCTCTCTTGTATCTCTCTGACAATTTCATCCATAACTATAGAAAATAAGTAAGGGCTTAAAGTAGATCTTAATTTATATGTAAAAATAAATTACTCTATATTATTTTTTGTATCCAAAAATAAGTATCATCATCTTTGTAAATATTTATAAGCTTAAAAATTAACCTTTAAGCCTGAAAAATAAAAATTTTATGATAATCCGTCCAGATTCTAAAAATAATTTGAATATAAATTGAATAAAACAAGTAGATAAAAGAAAACAAAAAAAAAAAACTCAGCACGGAGGTCGTGGCACAATGGTGACATGACATAGTTGCGTCAAGTATAATGATATCTGATAGTGATTAAAATCACTATCATAAAAAACACTTCGATGTAAATCTTTAGATAGTGTTTAATTATAAAAATTAACCTTTAAATTTTATGATGAAATTCTAATTTTATATATATATATATTGATTCTTTTTAATATAATTTTAGGCGAAGTATGCAAAGAATGTCAATGTTCTGGTAATATTATTAAAGAAGACCCTGCATCTTGTGATTCTATCACTGGAAGATGCACTCGTTGTTTAAACAATACATTTGGTGAATCTTGTCAGTATTGTAAACCAGGATTCTTCGGTGATGCAATAAGTTTAAAAGATTGTCAAGCATGCGATTGTGACAAATGTGGTATGGATAAATGTGACAATTATAATGGAAAATGTGTATGTCAACCAAATGTAGAAGGAGATAAATGTGATGCATGTGCTGTCAATCATTATGGGTTTGGTTCTTGCAAGGTATTGCGTAAAAAATTTACAAGTAAATTTTTAATTAAAAAATTTTAATTATTTTTTTTAGGGTTGTAAGCCTTGTGGTTGTGGTTTAGCTAGTGAAAGTTCACAGTGTGATGAAAACACGGGAATGTGCCGATGTAAGCCAGGAGTTGCTGGTAGAATGTGTGATAGATGCAAACCTGGCTACTGGAACTATACTTCTGAAGGATGCATATGTAAGTATAATTAATCAATGTATGATTACAAAAAATTATAGCTTAAGTTTATTTATGTAGCTTGTGGTTGTAACTCTGAATACAGTGTTGGTATTAGTTGTAATCCTTTAACAGGACATTGTGAGTGTTTGCCAGGAGTCATAGGAGAAAAATGTGATCATTGTCCACATCGATGGGTATTAATTCAGCCTGGGCCTAATATAGATACTATAGCGGGTGCTGGTTGTTTTGAATGTGACAACTGCACGCACGCTCTTCTTGATGTGACAGATAATTTGTTTTCAAAGTTATACCCGGTATCAAAAGAGTTTGAGGTAAGTTTTCTGCACATATTTTTGTATTTGTTATGAATATAGCTATGTATTATTCTTTTTTTATAATTTTAGACAGTAGCTTTAGGATATTTTACAACTCAGCGATTGCTCCATATAAATAAAACTGTATTAAACTTACAACCCAATTTAACAAATTTGGTTATAAGCAATACGGATCCGTTTTCGTTAGACCAACATTTATTTGATTTCCAGAAAGAGATTGAGAGTTCAAATAGAAAGGTAATAATTGGTTTATTTTTTTTAAATTTGAAATATATTAAATTGAACTATGTATGGGTTCGGTTTCTTCTTTTTAGGTTTCTTTTATTTATTTTTAATACACGTTTTAATTAATTAATTGTAAAATTTTTTGATGCCTATTTGAAACATATTAAAAATCAATTTATTATATTTACCGAAAATTTCATGATTCTTGGCTTTAATGCTTAATAGCTGCCGAAACTCATGATTTCGAATAATTTTTCATTTTAAAGTATATTACATTAGTATTAATTTAATATAGGTCTTTTAGAATATTATCAAAAATGATTTTTAAGCTCCCACACTACCTTAGTTAAAGATTGAATTTAAAGAAAACCATTTTATAAGTAAGAAAAATGTTTAAAGCCTGAAAAATAAAAATTTTATGATAATCCGTCCAGATTCTAAAAATAATTTGAATATAAATTGAATAAAACAAGTAGATAAAAGAAAACAAAAAATAAAAACTCAGCACGGAGGTCGTGGCACAATGGTGACATGACATAGTTGCGTCAAGTATAATGATATCTGATAGTGATTAAAATCACTATCATAAAAAACACTTCGATGTAAATCTTTAGATAGTGTTTAATTATAAAAAATTAATGGATTATTCCGAAAGCTACATGATCTGTTATTTTCTTATTTACATCCTGATTGAGATATAGTATGTCGAATGAACAAGGGATATAAATACTACTTCTCATGAAAAAATTGTATTGATCCATACATTTTTCAAAAAGTTATAGCATAATAAAGTTAAAAATGTAAAATACAAAATCGAGAATTTTCACACTAAAATAGCATTTGTTAGCCATTTTCACCGTAAAGACAAAATAAAGTCCGACATTTTTTTTCCATAATAAAGTATATTACATTAGCTTTAATTTAAGATATATATAAGTGTCAGACTTTACGGAACACTTTCAANTAACACTAAAATAGCATTTGTTAGCCATTTTCACCGTAAAGACAAAATAAAGTCCGAAATTTTTTTTCCATAATAAAGTATATTACATTAGCTTTAATTTAAGATATATATAAGTGTCAGACTTTACGGAACACTTTCAAATGTTAAGTTGAAAAAGTTGTTATTTTAAATCCTCCCTTGTGGGCAGGTAAAGGGTCAGATTTATAAAAAAAATATTGCAAAAGAAAGGTAAAGACATTAAGCATCTATATAAAAAAATGTATTGATTTAGTTTTTTTTAAAAGTCATGGCAGTTTTAAGTAAAAAAAATTGAAAAAATGTCGAAATTTAGGGATTATTAAATTTGTAATTTTTTTGGAGATTACCCCCATTTAGATACGATTTATGATCTTTTGACATATCGTTGAAAAAGTCCGTTTGGTGAGACCTGNAAAAACTCAGCACGGAGGTCGTGGCACAATGGTGACATGACATAGTTGCGTCAAGTATAATGATATCTGATAGTGATTAAAATCACTATCATAAAAAACACTTCGATGTAAATCTTTAGATAGTGTTTAATTATAAAAAATTAATGGATTATTCCGAAAGCTACATGATCTGTTATTTTCTTATTTACATCCTGATTGAGATATAGTATGTCGAATGAACAAGGGATATAAATACTACTTCTCATGAAAAAATTGTATTGATCCATACATTTTTCAAAAAGTTATAGCATAATAAAGTTAAAAATGTAAAATACAAAATCGAGAATTTTCACACTAAAATAGCATTTGTTAGCCATTTTCACCGTAAAGACAAAATAAAGTCCGACATTTTTTTTCCATAATAAAGTATATTACATTAGCTTTAATTTAAGATATATATAAGTGTCAGACTTTACGGAACACTTTCAAATGTTAAGTTGAAAAAGTTGTTATTTTAAATCCTCCCTTGTGGGCAGGTAAAGGGTCAGATTTATAAAAAAAATATTGCAAAAGAAAGGTAAAGACATTAAGCATCTATATAAAAAAATGTATTGATTTAGTTTTTTTTAAAAGTCATGGCAGTTTTAAGTAAAAAAAATTGAAAAAATGTCGAAATTTAGGGATTATTAAATTTGTAATTTTTTTGGAGATTACCCCCATTTAGATACGATTTATGATCTTTTGACATATCGTTGAAAAAGTCCGTTTGGTGAGACCTGAGAGAAAGTGGTAATAGACACAAAAAAAAACACATCATTGTAAAATTAATACCTTCTGAGCTTCGCATCAAAGCTAAAAAAATGTACAATATTATTTTTACTTTATGATTAATTAAATCATTCGAGACACAGAATTACTCTTTTAAAGTGCTCTAAACACTTTTTTTAAGTTCCCAACTTGTATTTCTTTCATGATTGATTTATTTAATTAACTTGATAAATGACAACATTCTTAATATTCTTAGGCTAAAACAGCATTAGCAGATGCTTTAGCATTAACATCAAAGAGTGATCTCATTCATAATAATGCAAAAGAAATAAAGCATTCTATGGATCAAGCGGTTGTAGAAACAAGGTCAGCTGTTACTGATGTAACTAATTTAGCTCAAAGTTTACAAGATGGAGCTGGTCCCCAGATTGATTCAGCTTTAAATGATGCTCAAATGTTCATGAACAAAATTAATCAATCTCTGCCTAATACAGAAGATAAATATGAGGAGACATCAAATGCTTTAGATAAAGCTGTAGATTTACATGGGAAAATGACACAATTTACAACACCTTTGAAAGAACCGCTATCATTATTAGAACAATTAAAGAATAAAATGGGAACATTTAAAAACAAAATAAATGATATTAAAAATCAGACGGATATTGCGAGAGAAAAAGCATCTCAAACAGCCTATATAAATGATTATAATAGGTATGTTGAAATATTATATTTAATCATTGTTGTTAAATTACTATACACGTTTTAGAGAATCATTATTGAAGCAAAATGACAGAACTAGTGCTTTAATAAAAATTAAAGACGAAGCAGACAGTGCAATGGGTAATTTAACGAAATTGGCTAAAGATGCCTTAAGTAACCTAGAAAATTCCAGACAAACATTTGCTAAATTAGGATTAGAAAATGAATCAATGAAAGCAATTAAGAGTAAGGTTAATTCTGCTCTTGGCGCAGAAGAAAAAAAAATTGAAGAGCTACAGGTTGGCATAAATAAGGCTCAATATCATGCAAATACATTAAAAGAGCAGGTAAAATAAGTAAAAATTGTTTATAATAATTAAAAATATACATTTTATATAAATATTACCTTATATTATAATTTTTTTTTTTTTAATTATAACAAAGGCTGATTTCATGGAATCTTTAATTAAAAATTCAACATCTGCATCAGATTCTGTTATCTTAGCAGCTAATTCTTATAAGAACATCGCCACAGAAATACAAAAGTCTTTTGATGCCTCAATGAACGCAAGTTCTGCAGCTGAAAATGCAATTGAAAAAGTACGTAAAAAACTTTCACACTATAATCTTGAATATATTTTGTATTCACATTTTAGTCGGAAGGAATTGGTGAAAAAGTTGTAATAGCTGATCAAAACTCAACAAAATTATTCCAAGACGCCAGAAAATCATTAGCAGATGTTCAAGAAGGTCTTGAAGAATCATTGAAATCTGCACAAGATTTATTATTGAAAGTTAACAACACGAAAAAAGAAGTAAATGACAGGGAAAATGAAATTTATAAGTAAGTATTATCAAAGTTAATTTATAAGTTTTAACTTATAAATACTATATTATAATATAAAATTTATGTTTGAAAAAATGTATAAATGTTTTAAAATAAGGCAAGTTGAACATCTCATATCAACAGTCGCAGATATAAATTCTGATAAAGACGTAAAAAAATCGTTAGATTACGATGAGAAGTCACTAACAGTTATTAAAGATTACAATGAATTAGCTTTATCTTTGCCAAAAAATTTAATTGCTTCCCAACAACTAAATAAAGATGCTGAACATGCAAAAAAATTCATTACTCAATCTAACAACCAGCGTAAGTTTATACAATTATAAAATACGGTATTCACAGAAACCATACTTATTTTGATTCTTTTAGTTGACATAGCATTATCACTTTTACCTAAAGCAACTAGTACATTTGATCGCTTAAAAGATAAACCAGAAAAACTTAATAAAAAAGAACAACAAATTAAAACAAGTCTAGATTCTCTTCAGAAAAAAATTGCTATTTGCAGAGAAATGATCAATAGGTAATTATGTTCAATTAATAATTAAAATAAAATAAAATAAAATAATTAATTAATTTCAGGATAAAAGTAGGAGTTAGTTTAAAAAGAAATTCAACTCTTGAACTTCGAAACCCTGAAAATTTGGCTCAACAAGGAATCAGTACTTTAGCATCAATATATTTTAAAACTGATCAACCAAATGGTCTTATATTATACTTAGGAAATGAAGTTGGAACTAGCCGAAGAATGAGAAGAGCTAAAACGGTTTGCTTACATACTTGTATAATGATTTTAATAAAATATGGACTTAATACATATAATATAAATAATTAATAGGATGATTTCATGGCATTACAAGTGCAAAATGGTTATTTAGTTTTGTTAATGGATATTGGATCAGGAATTTCTACTATTAGTAGTAGCAAGAGAGTATCGGACAACAAATGGTACAAAGCTACAGTTGAAAGGTAAATGATACAAATTTGGAGAAAATTTTGTGTAACACAAATGCTTTAGTAAATGTTTATTCGAAAGTTTCAATTGTGACCATACTATGTTCCCTATAAAATTGAAAATTAAAAACGTACTATTCACAAGGCAACTAAATTGAGCTATATGTCATCAACGAGAGCCAATATAATGATACAAAAATGATGATTATATAAAAAATGTGTGCTATCATTTTTTACTACATTATAGATGAAAAACTATTTTTTTTGTTTAATATAATCTACAAATCAAAATATGCGTAAAAACAGCACCAAACAATTTTTGAACGAAGAATGTTTTTAATATCTATATATAAAATGGAAAATATCTAAATGAAAACTCTTTTAATTTTTGATATAATTAAAATTATGCTGTTATTATTTTTTTAAACAATTTGTACAACTTTAGACTATTTTAAAAGTATATTTCTTGTTATTAATTTTTAATAATAATATAAATAATTTTTTTTTATTTTTTATTTCTTTAAATTTCAAAAAAAAAATCGTTTTTAGTTTTTCTTACAACAATCTATCGAGGTATTTATTGAATTATAATCATTTTAATACATAAAGTAAGTGTGTAGTACATATGTGTTATAAAGAGAAAATAATCCTAATATTCATAGGTTTTTTTATAATATATATATATATATACTTGGCTTCGCCAAGCTGAGGTCCAGCTCCAGTCTCGGTGCCTTGCAGGACTCGTTAATATTATGACTAAAAAATGGTTTGGTGTATTCATATAATTTTACTAATTATTATTTCATACAACAGATGAACAAAAAAAAACTTAACAACCGTTAAAAACAATCTTTAAATGCCGTGTCATTAGTGAAAATTACATATACTAACATTAACAAAATTGAGTTGTGTAAAGCAAAATCATATCCTATTAAAAAATGTGTGTAGAATTTAAAAAAAAAACATAAATGCTTTATAACTCAGCCAAAATTAACAGATTTTAACGAATTTTTCTGAGTACATTTTTAATGTTATTGATCAGATCTGGTAAAAACTTTAGGCTTTAAATCGAAAAATATTGACGGCAATAAGCGTTTTTATAAAATTTTAAAAAGCTCAAGGTGTGCTAAAAAAATTTTTTACATCTTCACTAATAATTTTTCTAGAATAATGTCGAGTTCATTCATTGAAAAAAAAAAAATTTGAAAATCGTACGTCATTAAGTAATTTTTCCAGCATTGAATAATTTTTTTAAATATTTTTTTTGATATAAAAAGAGTTATTTGTAATAAAAAAAATATATAATTAAATTTATAATTTTTATAAAGTTTAAATTACCTCATATTTATAGATATTAAAAAAATTTTACTTTGTTTTCAGAACTGGAAAAACAGTGAAGTTAACTGTTCACGAAGATTTAGGAAAAGACGCAAATTCTGAAACATTGTCTTATACAAAAGAAACTATTCTTCCCGGGAACTCTTCAATTATGAATTTAGATAAAGATCATTCTAAATTATTCCTTGGAGGATTGCCTTTCTCATTCCAATCTCAACCTGGAATAGTAGAACTATCTTTAGAAGGCCGCGTTGAAGAACTAATGCTTGGAAGTACACATATAGGACTTTGGAACTTTGTTGATTCATTGGGTGTAAATGACGGATCAGTAGAGAGGTATTTCACATAAAAATATTAAAATCCTTAGAAATATAATATTACAATAAAATAAAATGTATAGAGATCAATTAATAAATGCAACAAATCCATCTGGATATCGTATGAATGGCGAAGGATTTATTGTACTTAATTCTGCACCATACAAAATGAATGAGAGATCCTCGATTGTATTAAGTATAAAGACCACATCTGCAGATGGTTTGATATTTTTAGCATTTAAAAATAATCACTATATGTCCATTGAGATGGAAAATGGTAATATTGTTTCTAAGGTAAATATTATTCTACTTTATTAAATATTATTGTATCTAACAGTTATATTAAAAATTATCAAATTTACAGCTAAATCTTGGTAGTGGTCCGAGTGTAATTACGTCTAAAGAAATGTATAATGATGATAAGTGGCATTCAATTGAAACAACAAGGTTAGGTAAAGAATCTGTATTAAAAGTTGATGGAGAAATTATAGCTTCGGGGACGTGTCCCGGTGATGTTGCTGATCTTCAAGTATATAATTTGAAAAACTACAATTGAATTTAATGTTAAAATGTTGATAAATTTTTAGGTATCTGAACATTTATACATCGGGGGTTATCCGGGCAACCATGGACTAGAACAAGTTACTAAATACAACTATGATGGCTGCTTAGATCAAGTACAATTTAACGAATTCCAAGTTGATTTAAGTAAAAATGTTAATGCTTTTGGTATAATTGCAGGATGTCCCGAAAAGGTGCAATTCTATATTTAATTTGATGCTTTTTAGTTAATATAATTAATTACATTTTTTCATACAGTTTACTAGTATTGTATCCTTTGAACCTGGTAGTAGGGGTCATGTGAAATGGCCTAATGCAACAGCGTCTGATAATGTTATTGATCTAATATTGAGATTCAAGACTAGTTACCCTGATGGTGTATTGGTTTATGGTGTGAATGGACCGGCTATATTTTCACTAAAATTAGAAAATGGAATTTTAGTTTTCAAAAGTGGTGGTGTTCAAGTTTCATCTACACAATCTACAAGATATGATGATGATCAATGGCATGTAGTTTTCGCTGCTCATTCGCCACAAGGACTATCTTTGCTTGTAGATGACTATGATAGTTTCCAGTATGTTATAAATACTTATCATAGTAATAAAAATTTGTTTCAAAAAAAAAAAAATTGCTTTGTTTTTTAGATCTGATCGATCACCGAACCCAGTTAGATTTTTGTTCTCCGATTTTTACTTTGGAGGTGTTCCATCTTCAGTTGATGCAGCTGCTGCAATATCACAATCATTCATCGGATGCATTGGAGATGCCACATTCAATGGAAAAATAATAAATTTTGCGCAATTAACTGAAATTCCAGGAGCTACTATTGGCAGGTGTTCAGGACCTCCAACTCCTGGAAGCAAACTGCCAAAACGTAATGAATGAAAAATAGCATAAAACTTTTTAGTAATAAGGTTGGGTTCTAATTCAAGTTATTATTTTTGTTTTTGGTGTAGGAGGACCTGTACCTCCAATTGATAAGTATCCGGACACAACAATAGCTCCTGTACCACCAATTACTTTCCCTCCTACGTTCGCTCCAGATGAAACGACAAAACCAACTCCTCAAAATTTATGTACCCTTCCAATAGTCCCTCGTGATGATCCTGACATGACAAAAGATAGTGGATACAGATTCGGTATTAATAACCAAACTCAGATAACATTATTACTTATTTTAATATATATAATTTTTAGTAATTTATTGATAAATATGTTTTAGGAAATATGATTGGAAGTAGATTTGAATATGATAACATGATTTTAAAGCCTAAAAATATTTCAAGTGAATTGTCTGTAGACATTAAAACAACAAGTAGTGAAGGAATTATTTTCTTCGGTCAAAAATTAGAAAGTTCTGATATGATAGCTGTCTACTTATCCGAAGGAAAAGTAATTACAAAAAAAATTGTCAATTATTCGAATTAATCGAAGAAAAATAATATATACGAATTTTATTTCAGGTTTACTACCAATTGAGTTGTGATTCTATACCAGCCACAATTATCGCACAGATGCCAGTGAACGATGGAGAGTGGCACACAGTTAAGTGGTCTAGGTCAAATACCAAAGCTGAATTATTTGTAGATGGAACATTAGTTGGCTCTAGTAATACAGCAGATTGTAAATTGGACATAACTCCACCATTCTACTTAGGTGGAACCAATCCTTTAGATTACCAAAAAGTTATAGACCTAGTGGTAATTTAAATTATTCATGTATATCAAAAAAACATTTGTAACAATTAATTATTTTTGACAAATAGAAAATGAATGAAACATTTGAAGGTTGTTTGAGAAGATTTAAAGCTAATTCAAAAGAGCTTGGAAATCCTGACCGTAAATTTGGCGTATCTAGATGTTCTGATAAAGTAGAAGGAGGAGCGTTCTTTTTTGGAAACGGCGGTTATATAAGATTATGTAAGTCACATATAAAATGAAAAAAAAAAATTTCATTACATTTTTTTTTATTGTTTACAGTTGACAAGTTTGTTGTGGGTAAAGAGCTACGTATTACAATGCAAATAAAACCTAGGAGTATTGATGGGACTTTAATGTCTGTAAAAACATCTAAAAGAGACCATTTGCTTTTGGAGTTAAAAAATGGAACTATAACATTTTCTGTTAATACTGGAAAAGGGCCAATGTCAGCATCATATTCTCCGGCATCACCATACTTTTTGTGCGACGGACAATGGCATACAATTGAAGGTATGAACATTTTTATAACTTAAATAATACTAAGTATGTAATTACAATTATTTTTAATACGAGTTCTAATTTTAGCGGTAAAATCAAAAAACGTAGCCCAAATTGGTGTTGACAATGATTTTAAGCCTCCTGATCAATTTGGAAAAGGAGGTTCAGTTGATAGTGTTGGTAAACAGTTGTACATTGGAGGTCATCCACTACAAAAACGTAACGGAAACTACAATAGATACATAGGATGCATTAAAAACATTGAAATTATAGATAGCTCAAATGAAAAACATAACTTTAATAAGTTCCCTACACAGATGGTACAAGGTAATGTGACATTAAACTTATGTCCAACCATTTAAAGTTACCATCCATTAAATTATGTACAGGAATTAACAATTAAAAAAAGTTTTTTAATTATATTTTATTTTGTAAATAATGCTACTATATCATGATTTATGTTAATAATTAGGTATAGTTTATTTATTATACAGCTGATATAATTTGATTGTGAAAAAATAAGCTGTTTAAAGTATATTAATACTGTACAAATATAAATTTTAAGAGCAGTAAGAGCACCCAAAAGACTTTTAATGCCAATTTATTAAAGTTATTTAATATAGTTATTAATTAAAATAAAATATTGTTAAATGAATTATTATAAATGATTTTCTTTTTTTAAAATATATGAAATTATTTTATTAACAGCATCTTAGTATTGTCAAAATTAATAGAAGAATAATATGTAATGTATAATCATATTTTTATAACTTATATACAAATAATTTTGTTTGATTTTACTCCTAAATTTTTCTCTTTTTAATAAAAATAAAGAAAAATAATGAAAAAATATCTAAAGTTTAATATATTGTGTGAATAAATAAAGAAAATTATTAATAAACTGTCACAAATTTTTAAGTATTGATAATTTAACAGATATGGTAATTAAATATGGTACATAAATATAAAACAGATCTTATTTTTATATCTTTATTAAAATTGTAAGATATATATAAAAGTGTTAGATCTTCCAGAACATTTTCAAAAGTTAAGTTGAAAAAGTTAATTTTTTGTGAAAAAGTTGTCATTTTAAATCCCCCCTGTGGGCAGATAAAGGGTCAAATTTACAAAAAAAATATACCAAATGATAGGTAAAGACATCAAACATCTATATAAAAAAAAATTATATTGATATGTTCATTTTTGAAAAAGTTACCTCAGTTTTTAGTAAAAAAAATTGAAAAAATTTCGAAAATTAGCGATTTTTAAATTTGTAATTTTTTGGGAGGTTTCCCCCATTTACGGGGAACGAAGGAAATTTTTTCAATTTTAAAGGGTAATGTCTTCGACTAGATACAAAAAAAAAATAAAATAAAATAAAATAAAAACACATCATCGTAAATAATACCTTCTCAGCTTCGTATCGAAGCTAAAAATAATAATGTTTTGATTATTACGACAGTGAATTATCAAAATTAAATAATTCAAATAATAGCCAACAGTAATTTATTTGATTTAAATAGCTTTCGAGTTTTTTAAATAGTCAATTATTGCTCAATTAATCTGTACATGATGAAATAATTCTGAAAAATAAATAATGGAATTTAGTAACTGTGAAAAGGTTTGAAAAATTAACCGAGGAAATGAATCCTTTCAAACATTTCAAATTGTATTTTTTCGTGAACTTTATTATAGCATAATTTATTATGTTATATTTACATCAAAATTAAGTGTCTGCCTTTGCATTAAAATATTATTTTGTTTTTTTTTTTTTAACTGTTTAATTTACTGAAACTAAATATTGACTTCAAATTGTTTGTACAATTAAAGAATTTCAAAAATCTATGCGAAATTTTGAAATTTGCCACGGGGGGCGTTTATTTTGCATTGCAGTCGTCAGTATTAATGTGTTATTGGCTACTGTTCAACAGACATTAGTGACGAAGGACGCTTAGAAGGGTACTCGCAGTGCCATTTCGTCCATCAAATCCGCCGTGAAAAAATCTCGCCGTATATCTTGAAAAATATTAAATCAAACGTGTTTATCAAAAAGATTGTCCGGGAAATTTCGGCGGTAAAATAACTATAACTTTTATTTTACATAAAATCTCATTAGCGTTACAGGTGAGTTAACTGAGTTTGTGAACTATATACATATATATGACTTTATTAATTAGATACTATTTATTCATAAACATATTAATATTTAAACACTACCGAGTTTAATTGATTACAAGATATTGAAAAATATTTTTTTTAATTAGTCGACTGAAAGAAAGTTCCTCATTGAAACTGATAAGACTTGAGTAAGTTGGTTGGCAAAATTCAAAACTGCAATAAACATTTCTTTTGACGTGTATTAATAGAGTTATAGCGATTTGACCGGTGACACTACAGTGTGTATAGTTGTCTATATAATTTCAACGCGCGTTTGGCAAACTTTTCGTGTCAAGCCATTCAACCTCGTTTTCTTTATCCTAATTTACTTTAACTTCCGTTAATCTTCTATTATAAATAGTATGAAGGTAGAAAAAATATTTGCTCTAATTGTTAAAAATAACTAGATTATTCGTTTATATTGAATATTTTATAATCCTTAATGAGAGTTGACACACAACAAAGGTATGTTTGTGTTTATCCGATCAGCTTTTAGATTTGGATTTTTAAATAAACTGACCTATAGCAACGTATTACAACAATCTAGAATTAGAAGAACGAAATATAACTTCATTATACTTATTTTTACTAAACGTAACTAAGAAATTATCAAACTGTTAAATATTACAAAAAATATTTTTAAATTTCAATTTTTCAAGAGGGTAGAAAGACATTTGGTATTCTTCATTTTTAGATATTTTAATTCAATAGTCGACAAAAAATGAATCATTTATAATTTTATTATAACCAAAGTTGAGTTAATGTTATTTGTTAGTTATATTGGTAAAAGTTTGATAATCTTGTTTATAGTGAAAATTCTATTTGAGTTTAGATCATGATTACAATAAATATTGTTATTGAAAATTAAAATAAATCATTAAATCTGCAAAATTATATTTAACTATAAAATATAAATCGTGAGAGAAATAACAATTTAAAATGTTGTTATAAAGCTATTAGTTTATAAAAACCTTTATAGAGCTAATTTTTAAAAATGACGTATGTGTAGAGAAAGTGCAAATATAATAACTACTGACTATTTTATTTACATAGTGTAAAAATACATGTTAATTAATGATGTTTTCGCATTTAAAGACATTTTCAACCTACTCATTAGATCATAATAACTCGACGTCACTAAGTATATGAAAAGTATAGTAATGTTTTATTTATTTTTTCGGTATGGATCATTTAGATATTTGCTTTTACACAACTGTTAAAAGATACAAAAAAAATTCAATATTCAACATGACTCATAGGTTTATTTTAATAACGAATACTGTAAAATTTAATATAAACAAAACAAATTATTATTTTTTCCACATGTGCTGAGTTGTTGAAACATTATTTAGAATATTTTTCTAAATTGAATGTGTTCCTAGTAAATGGTGGAATTAGTGAAGGATAGGTTATGTACAAAACATACATTGTATCCGATTCACAATATTTTTATTCTTATGATTTCTAGGATTTTAGGTTACCTTAAAAAGATATTTGGGTTTTTATATAAAAATTAATAGTAATATTTTTGAGTAAAAGTTTTAATTTTTTTTTAAGAAACCTTACTTTATAGGTAGCATCTTTGTGCCTTTAATTAAAATATTATTCTAATAATACTACTACGATATCAGCTTCGATACGTAGCTCAAAGTGTTGATAGTTTAAAAATAAATAGAAAAAAAAATAGTTTTCTGTGATTTTGTTGTTTTATAGGCAAGCATATGTAATTTATAGACTAGAAATATAATGAATACTGAAAATAGATTTGTTGTTGTGTAATATTTCAAAAATTATTTTTCAATATATATTAATAAATGACCATTTGCAGGATGTCTGAAAGACGAACATTATTAAGTCGCCCTAGAACTCGGGTGTACGATTGCAATTACAATATTGGAGAGGGTTATTACAAACCAATGATGGATCATCTGGACCGCAAGTACTATGGCGGATCTACGATTCCTTCGCCTAAACCAGCTAGAAGCTTATTTGATAGTCATAAACTTAACTTAAGTCCGTCAACATTTGATGATTTCCAGTCTTCCTCGCCAATTAGGTCAAGGCGTGGATCTGACTCTAGACTATCAATGCCTGAGGATGATTTTGAACAGGAGGTATAATTAATGTTATGAATTTAAGCTAACACTTGAAAGTAACACGTAATTGTAATTTAAACACACTTAAAATTACAATCAAATTTTGAAAAATCCATTTATTTTTTTAATTTTTGAATATTTAAGTAAACGCATTCATTGTGTAAATTGATCTACATGTACTCCCAATGAAGTGTACATGTATAAACAGTGATTAAAGCTTGAAAATGTTGTTTTTATTAAATTTTTCAGAAAAATTTTCAAGAGTGGTCGAAAATTTGAAAATTTGGATATAAAAATATAAATTTTAATATAAAATATTAATATTTTAATTTACATGATTTTGACTAATAGTATTACTCTATTACAGATGTTTAATCTGATGTAAGTAACGGATTGAGAGTTCATTATTATCAGTAGGGCTAGGACAATATGCACTAAAAACCTACAATAAATATATTAAAAAGTCATCAATAATACTTCAAACAAATGTTTTTAAAACAATAGTGCTTTAAATAATGTTTTCAAAATGTCAAATTTAGCTGAAAATAATTTATTAGTACTAGAGTAATATACTAACTTACATGTAATCAAATGTTGAATAATATTAATTTTTAAAATTGTTATATACAATTAAACAGTAATGTAAAATAATAACTATTAAATAGTTAACTAAAATGTAACTGTTTTTTATATTATTGAGTTTTGTAAATTTACAAATTTTTAACAAAAATAAATATTTCCATTTAATTGTGTTCTTTATCAAAAAATTTTTAAATATTTTCTAAAAATTATTTTCCGATATCGTTTTAGTGGTGGTATTTGACGAGTCTAATTATATTTAAAATTACTTCATATAAAAATAATAATTTTTATTTATCAAAATATAGTTAAGGGGATAAAAGTCAATAATTAATAGTTAATTAATTAATTGGAAAATAAACATAAATATAAGAGTAAATATTTTCACTAAAATTTGAAAACTTAAGCTAAAATGTTCGATTTTAATATATGTTTGACGTATAAACTCAATAACTGTCACCATAAAATATACGTCAGTATTGATCATATTCCTTATTAGTTTTAATATTCAACCCGATAAAAATATTAAACTCGTGCACTTAATAGAATAATGAAGAAATACTGTTTTTTAATTTGTCTCCTGTAATTCGAAAAACACACTAGTTATGAATATGTTAAAACTTTCATGGATTGTTTTGTTGCTTGAAGTGCTTGAGGATATATCCATGTTTACAGTTGAGTCCGAAACGTCAGAACTCAACTGTAAACATGGATATATCCTCAAGCACTTCAAGAAACACACTAGTATTAGATATTTTTATTCATCTAAATATCCAAAATTTCGAAACGATTGTAACATCATTAATTTTCTCATGAAACTATCATTAATAATTTTTGTAGAACATTTTTTTTATTAGAACGTATTAGCCTTACTAACACAACCTTGCTCCTTGAGTTTGAAGTAAGTCTGTAGTTGAGATTGCCCATAAAAAATGTCTAACTTACACCTTGGAGTCGACCCAAAACTACAACCATGTCAAATTGTATGAAACTTATTGTATTTTTAACATCTTTTTCTGGCGTTATTATTTCTTTCAACTTGGTATACATATACAAATATAATCATCACGTGCGCTATAATTCTTGCAAAAATAAATAACAAAATATTTTATTTTGAAATCGATTTTTTTTCAGTAGATTTTCCTGAGTATAATTAATCTTTTAAAATTTTCTATTTTTTAATAGAATTTCAATAGAATAAATGGTTTAATTACTGAATACCCGCCAATAAAGACACCACAGGTATCACTTAAAATTATAACTCCGTAGCATACATAATTGAATAATTTTGTTAATTTAAATGACTTAAGTAACAAAATTTTAAACACAAATATTGATATTTAAATTTAATTGATCACATCATATTTAATATGATATGATCAACCAAATTGCGTTCAGTTACTCGGTTTTTAAAACTTAAATTTAATCCATTACGTTTATTTTTTATCTAATATCACTATAGTGACTGGAATTTAACTGTATATGAAATTATTAATTTTATATCCAGATATTTGATGTTATCTCGTAATAAAAAATCTGTTATATAATTTTGAACTTCAATGAATCCTTAATAATTAGGAACAATTATTGTTCTATTACTAGACGAGTTATCCTACTAAATACTACCATCCAGTATTCATTTACTTATAAATAGTAATATCATTAGTTTAACTTTGAATAATAATCTTTTAAATTCTATTAGTTTTGAGATAAATTGAGAATGTTAATAACATTAGAAATACTGTTTCTTAGAGATAGTTCCTTTCCAATTCATTGCATCAATGACGATACAGGTTATTTTTATCAACGTGTCTACGTGTTAACATAAAAATATAGAGCTTTGTATAGATAAATATAAAATGTTACATGGCTATATAAGTTTATCCCAAATATTGACCATTGGTGGAATGTTTACCCTATTAAAATAAATTATTTAAATAATTATCATAATGAAGTTCTTATTTTACTTATGATTATTCTAACCCTGCAGAATATTTACTAATTTATTGTTTATAATGTTGTTATTTATAAACCCACGATTTAATAATAGTTTTTATCAATGACGTAGTTTTATTTTTTTTTACAGAAGAAATTTAAGACGGACTACTAAACATTTAAAATTTATATTTATTTTTAAATTTATTTTATTTATTAATTGATAAATATTTTTTTTTTGCAAATAACGTAATTCGGGGGAAAATACATAATTTTAGTGGGCTACTGAAAAAATCAGATGAATGACTATGCTGACACCCTCCTAATGAAATTCCAGCGTATTATACAAACTATTTCCAATTTCATGATTCTTGCATATAATAATACAAGTAAAACATTAACCCAGCATGAGATAAATTTATGATAGCAAATTATATTCAAAATCATCATTAGATTCCTACACAAGGACTTCGACAAAAAAATTGTCACATAAAATTTTAATACTTCATGTATAGATAATTATTATATTATAACATATATTATTCCAAAGCATTGACACTATAATTAAGTTCAAGATAATCCAAATAGTCATTTGCGATCTATAAATTAATTATAACTATTAATAACCGTCACCGAATACATTTAAAGTATTTTACTGAACTATATAAATTATAAATGATATTAAATATTAGTTATTTTAATTTTTACTTTTTCAAAATTAATATTAAAATTTCTATTACATTTTGAAATCTAAAAACAAATAAAATTATAAACCAAACACAAACAAACACACACGTTTTTGTTTATGAAGTTCCACTTATAATTACAGCTGTTAATATAGTGTTTTTTTTTTAATTTTGTGCATATAGCTTCTTTAAATTTGAATATTTATATGGCTTCTTTAAATGTATCATGAAATTAATAAAGCCATAGCAGTTCATAAGTTTAGAGAAGTCATATAATTGCACAAAATTTAAAGAAGCCATATAAACAGACGACATTTAAGAAGCTGTAGAAGTGTATAAAATTTAAAGGAACATTATAAATTTATAAATTTTAAGAAGCCATAGAAATTTACAAAATTTAAGAAGCTATAGAAGTGTACAAAAAAAAAAAAACATAAAAATACATTAATATAAAAAAATTATAAAAATGCATAAAATAAAAAAAATCCTTTCACTGAAGTCTCAGGGTTAGTGTTTAACTATTTAACTAGTATAATACTTTTAAAATTACGTCAAAGTTTTACTTTCAATTAATTAAAATAAAATTATTTTGTCTAACAAGATGGTGGACCAAAAATCTACTTAAGCATTATTATTTCGCTAAAAAGTTTACAAGTTTTTAAATTTGAAACTAAAGTAACTTAGATCATAATTTTAATTATAATAATAGCCTTGTTTTTGGGTATGATTTTCCCTAGTTCAAAGAGCAGTTACACTATTAAAAAAATATGCGTACTGGAAGTTTTTAACGCTACAATGTAAGGGGAAATTATTATAACAAGCAATAAATATGTTATAATTGTGTGCGAATTTCCGATACTTTATAGTTAAAGCATTTAATGTTACTTCTTTGAGAGAACTTAATAATCTTCGGTATAAATTTTTAAACAAACGTTGTACAGTTCACAAAGTAATGTTAATTGATTAAAGAGCAATAGAAATCGAAATATTTAAATACGAATTTTTATTCAGTGAATATATTGATTTTTTAATAATATAAATAAATAAACAATACCTTCTATGCATTAATAAATTTAAAAAAAAAAGTAAATAATTTCTTTTTAGATTTTCAAACTTTTTTGAAAACAGTAATAAGATTAATTGTGGGTAGCTGAATAAAAAAATGTATTACTGAGCTTATTTTAATTCAATTTGTTTATTGTAATTCTATGAAAAACGTTTAATATTTTATAACTCAAAAATAATTTAATTGAAAATTATCTTATGTACTTCCATTTTTGCATGTCTACACAACATTTAACAGTTATAAATAAACAATTATAATAATGCACTTTAATTATAGACCACATGTTTGAATGTAAAGAAATTCTTTTTGTACATCGTTTTTAAAGTTCCATTCATTTATTTATTTTAAATACATTATTATGTGTTATACCAGTAGGAGTTATACAGTATATGATACGGTCTGGTGTGAAGGATTATTGCTCAAATTGGCAAGAATATTTTCATGTAATAAACTTCTTCCACTTTTAAACAACTGCATATCAAATTGAATATTTAAAGTGCACATAGGAGACCAACAAAGTCGACGGAGAAAAGTCAGACAATTACAAACGTATACTATAAAAAATGTTCTTATAAAAAAAAGTTATATTTGTAAAAAATTGTTTGATCAATTCATTTATATTGTGTTATTTTTCAAATATTACAAAATAAAATACTTTTTTTCTAACTTTGTTAGTATAAAAAATAAACAAACAAAATATATAAAACATTTTATTTTAAACAACATTTCATGAACATTTTTTATAGTTTTAACATTTTGTCTAAATAATTTAAATAAACAAATAAAATCAATTTAAACTGTTTACATTAAATGGCGTTTTTTATTTTTATGTTTAAATATCACAGATATGACTTTTTTTGTAATAACTCTTTTATAGTATACGTTTAGTTTTACTTATAGGGTTTTAATTTTTTTTTTATTGTAAACAACATAATCTGTAAGATAATTGACGAAAACAGAAAGATTACTCCTTCAGTGGAATTTTCAACTCTCTTATCACATATGTTAACGTCACCCAAATTTTGAACAAGTTTTTTTTATTTAACAGAACATTTTTAACAGACATATCGAGTGAATTTGAAAACCTCATTTTTAAGATACATCCTAGTTGATGCGTAATCACGATTATTGAATTTTTATTAGGAATAGCTTGAGAATATCATATTAATAAAACTAATGTATTTTAATTTTAAGATCGCAGCTCTAAGAAAAGCTCGTGCGGCTAAAGCAGCTGCTGCAAGAACAGCTTCATTAGAACGGGAGTTCGAATCTGCTTTCAACGGATTGTCATCAGATGGCATGCCTAGATCACGTTTTGACTACACGGGAAAGGTTTTGGACTCAGTAGGTTTAAACAGTAAAGCACAAGAAGCGCTTGAGAAGGAAATTACGAAGAAACGTACCAAGTCGTACTTTCAAGAGGCCGACGAATTTGCAGCGGCGGCTGAACAACAGGCGACAAACAAATGGATCAAGGCAAAAATACAGGATGATGCCGAAGAGCGTTTCGCCGAAGAAACTGCCGCAATAGCAAGAGCACGCAAATCCAAAGCTCGTTTGTTGGATATTCAGAACGAGTTGGACGACTTGGCCGATCGCGATGCAGCCAGACAGAAGAGGTCAGCTGATCTCAGGGCATTATTTGCTGACAACGAAGCACTTACAGAATCTGCCAATTCGGTATTTAAAAAGAAGTCATCAAAGAAAGTGTCTTTTTAATCATTGGTCGAAATAAAAATTTGTCTGTAACAAGTTTCCGGGCTGTCTCAAATGCCCATCATTAGTAACTCAATTTATACGCCAAGGCCCAATTTATCAAATATCTGTAAATTTTATTTAAAAGTCACCTAATTTTCATTTTTAAGCGTAAATGACTGAAAAGCCATTTCAGAGTCTTAAGACACATTTCTTAATATCTCACATTTTATGTCTGACAAAATGTGCTTTTTAATTATCTTGTATACATTGAAATAATTAAATAAGTAATAATTTTAGATAAGTGAAATATTTTGATGAAAATATGAGTGTATGAAAAATGTTTTTTTTTTAATTTCTGTTATTATATTTTATAAATATAAAATAACAAATTACATAGAATTATGTGTTATGAATATTTTTTATTTGTTTTAAAAAACATCCAACATTTCATATTTTGTAACTTTAAATTATTGATTCAATGGATTAGTAGAATTGTGTAATGAAACATTTATTATTTGAATGTAATAGTTGATAATGGTATCTAATAAATTTTAAATATTCGTGCGTTTGTTTTTATTATCTTATATAATTTATCATTAGTAAACAAAACATAATAAAAATACAAAAATAACAATATAAATAAGACAAGTATTGTCTTGTTCAAATAATCTTTTCAATAATAATTGTTTGTGATGCATTTGTTTTTATAATTTAAAGGCTAAGTGCAACAATCAGATAAGTCCATCTCTTTCAAAAAATAATTTTTTATTGATTTTGTATAAATATCATTTGTTTGCATAATTCAGTACAAAAACGAATTCTATATTTCTATGATCTGTGGAGATTTTAATTTAGGAAAAACATTTTATCATTGCTTTTGTTATTTCAATAAATTATTTAATTGATATAATTATATTGTCATTTAAATTTAATTTAATCTCATTATATATGAACTTTGATTTCACCATGTTACTAATGTTATTTTAATATATATAATTTGTATCATTTAGTTGGAATTTACTTTGCCAGCTAAATAGAAGCCAGAGGAAATCCAAAAAATTTGACTTTTCAGCATTTTGTTTTTATTGATTTATGATTTATTGAGTAGTTTTTAGTGAAAATTGTCATCTCGAAGCATACGTGTTGCCATTGGAGTATAAAAAACATTTATTTATTCTCTCTCCTAATCGTATCTTAAACAAGAAATTATTTTAGCATGGGACTCCTAACTAAGCTCTCGTGTGGATATCTTTTGATAAAAATACAAATTGTGCTTCCCTACTACTTCGCAATGTGTTTGTTCGAAATTCGCAAGATTAAAATTTTTCACTCGCGCAATCAGTTAAATAGTTGTTATTTTCGGTATTTCGCGGCAAATATCAAAATTGAGCACGACGAATTTTTAAAGGTTATGTCTAAAAAGTGTCCGGCGGCTCGTCTCGGCCACAATTTTCCGTACGTGTAATTTCTACGCGTTCGTAGCGATTTGTCGTTTGTGGGACAACAGTTACGCAATGGTGATGATCGCAACAATGATTAGTCGCAACGGTGATTGGTCGCTCGGATGAGCCGCGAATTGGACACCGTACCTGCATTATTAAAAACGTACGGGATTATAATGTCGCACCATGTGGTGAGTTAGTTTAGATACTGTCGACGACTTTGGCATTAGATGCATCTCGTATACCACAGCGCAGTAAAAGTACATAAAACGATGACGTGACAAAGTGCGTACACTTGTAATGCTTAAATAGATATTTTTTCGTTTAAATTATAATTTGTACTCAAATAAAAAAAGTTGATTACAGAAACAGTTAACGTGTATTTATTATTTAATTGAGTTGCAGGTGATTATATACATGTGCGAGTGTAGAATACAACAGGATGCGTTCGTCTATAATGTATCTGTCTGGTCGCTTTCCGGCACATCAGATGTTCTGGGCGTGCAATCGGTCTTTGATAGTCGGTCTTGGCACTTCCAGTAAGTTTGGATTGCGTCCGAGAGTCGATACGGTTACCCTGTCACATAATTTACTACATGTTAATTACTTTTTCACTCAAACAGTCAACCAGGTTTAGTACAAAACAAAAATGGTCATTTTAAAAGTCATAGAATATTGGAAAAGTTTAATCCTGACAACAAAACTGTAGGCTTTTGTGGACAGAACATGATTCCCAGCAAAAAAGCACGTGAAGTTATTGTGGAAATCATTAAAACACCCAATGTACAAATTTAGACTCAGAAAAATCTGTTTCATTTAATGATCGCAGTGAGAAATTATTTCGTCGCCAAATCGTAACGGATTGTTGTTGCTTTCAGTATTATAAAAACCAAATTAATGATAAAACTTGTGTATTTTTAAACCAAATCTCTATACAATAATAAAACGCTAACAGTTGATTAGAAAAAATAAATTTTATAAGAACGAAATCGTATGAATTTTTCTCTATCATATCGTTAAACTATTAAAATGGGTTACAGTTTAAGGAAATCAAACTTTAGGTTTTCCCTGTTGGATCGAAAAAATAATTAACTACATGTTATTCTAGACTTTTTTTTAAATAAAATAATATTTTCATTGACGAAAGTTTCAATAATTTCCAAGAAAATGAGTGTCTTATCCTTAATGTATCAACCTGTATATTGAAAGACCATTTAGTTGGTTATTTTTATTTGAATTCAGTTAAGGTAACGTTTTTTTGATTTATAATCTCATTTAGATCGATTTTCAATGAATAAGGTATAATTTTTTTTTTTATTCTTTCTTTCTTAATGAATCAGAAAAAAACTATTCACAATACTGATCGTGAAAATTGGAAATTTGTTATTTAAAATTAATTTAATAAAAATCTAAATGAAGTGCATTTTTTGTTTGATTTATTTTCCTATTTTTGGACCTAGATATGAGTTCGATAGTATCACTTCCGGGTTTTAGGTGGTCTAAATCACGTTTTGAACAACTAGTTTGTCTCGCTATAAATAATAATATGAAGGCTAAGTTCGAACTAGGGCCCAAATCTTTTTGCGAAGTAAATACTCTTTACTTCATCGGCCAAATACAACATTTTTCCAGGAGTTTATATATAAATTTACTCATATTCGAAAACACATGTTTACAATAGAAGTGAATATTTATGGTATTTTAAGAAGGTACTTTGAATTTAAAGAAAAATCGTTTTCGAGTGGATCGGTTTGTATGTTAAAGCGAACGTAAAGAAGTTACCATGGCGTTCCGATGAGGTAGTCGTAGTATTGCCTGTAGTAATAGTGCTTATCGTGATCTGCCCGGCAGATAGACGGGATAACGGCGTAGTCATTGAGCTTGGACCTGTTGGGTGGGTAGTCAAAGGCAGAGAGTCGACGGCCGTCTTTGGTACAGTTCCTCAGCACACGTTCTTCCCACGTTTGCGGTGGTGGCACTGGGTCGTACACACCTCTTTGCCGTTTGTCCATGTACGCTATGTAGTCATCATAATAGTTATGCTGGTAATCGTACAAGATCTTGTACTGAAGCCTCGTTGGTCGGGCCCAATGCCTGAAGATCTTACGCGCGTCCTTTTCTTCGATCTACAAAAGCACACGTCGTGTATATTTATGCAATGTCTGCTCATAGTTTTGTTATTAAACAATTGTCGTGTGTAATATTGTTTTCGTTATCTTACAGCCAAATAGGTAAATCGCACGTGTAATCGAAAAATATTTCTTTTGAAAACGCATCGATTTATTTTTAATTGGATGAATTTTGTCAATGATGAGCACGAAGCTCACAAAAAAGACCTCGAAAATGTCACGGGACATGAAAGTGTCTATAGAAGGTAAAAATGTTCGTCTGGATCGAAGAAAAAATAACGATTGGTACCAGTAAATTTATTTTTAATTATCAGTTAGAAAATAATTGTCGTTATGTTAACACGTTTTCAATATAATCATTAAATGTTGGTACTCACATATTTTTTGTAAGTTTTTCTCCATTCTGCGGGCGGTTTGGGAGCCTCGACTTGTTTGGCCGGTTGATCGGCAGGTGCCGTTTCCTCGGTGTCTTCGACAGCGTCGGTTGTCGCCGCCGAAGTGTCTTCAAAGTCATCGAACGACCACGCTACGTCTGGGTCAGCCATGGTACACAGGCAGGACAATTAAGTCAACTAAAAAAATATATATATATTATTCTGGGAGAATAAAATTAGATTTATTTCTGAACAAAGAATGTCTCACTGAAATATGGTCAGAAAACAATATAAACACACACGAACCTCGACGAGCGAATTCCGATCGAGCTGGGCACCGACTACGATCAGCTTACTAAATGTACCGATTATCCCTTTGGCGAGCACCACTTATAATTCACTAGTGGCCGTGAGCATGGTCTGTGCCCAAAATGTCAGGTTTGGTTAAACAAATATTACGGCAGCCAATCTTATTCAGTGTGGCAATCACAATGTTTGGGAACCACTGAGAATTCGATTGCCGATATAAGAGATCTGAATTGACTTTTTTTTGGCGCCGATAAAATTTTATTGTCGCCTCGACCGTTGTGTCCTAATTGTCATTGTCAATGATGAACAATGCCAATATTTTGGTGCGGTGAAGAAACCAATTGGTGTTTGATACGTCAGGGCCTAGATGATAATGTGAATTCATTCACTCATAACTTGTTTGTTTTCGTTGTCAAAATAAAGCAACTGGCTACGTTTTTGATGAAAATATAACAATATTTGTATAAATACAAAGCTAAAAAATGGTAACGATAAACAAAACAAAGGCATGACTTAGAAATGAAGCCAAGTGGGTTTCTAATTCGCGAGAATAAATGAAAATAACACAAAAAGTCGAGATATTTTTAAAATATCCATTTTGAATTTCGAAATGTAACGTTACTAAATCTGAACTATAAGTTTAAGTGTTAAGTAAACTATCAACATAGTTATAAATTTTAAAGAGAAGCGTTTTGTGAAGTAGAAACAAACTGTAAACATTGTTGGTATTGAAAAAAATATAAACATCATTTATACTCGGAGCATGGAGGGGATCCATAGGCTCTGAACTCCAAAAATTGTCAAAATTGTATAATAATTATCAGGTTAAAACTTGTTAGTATAACGAAGAAAAAGTGAAAGTTTCTCTTAGTCTCTCAGCTAGTATACAATTCTGACTATGTATTTGACTTGGAATACTGTAGGTTCTTATTAAAAAATACCACTTACAAAAAAGTACTCTAAGACTCTTGAACAGTTAGGTAAGATATGATAAGTCATATTTTTATGAAAAAACATAAAAAACCCGCAACTATTTTTATCGATATGATCAAATATTATATATTTCATAAATTATTACAACATTAACACATTTACTATTTTTAAACAACCTTGAATTAATTTCTTCATTAATTTTTATAATAACTAACCTACAGAACAATTTATTAATACACCCGCTTTGAAGGAGTATACAAGTTTGTGCCAATGTTTGACAATAATAATTATTTTGTTAAACACGCACTAGTTAAAAAAAAATCTACAATTTTTTAGTTAATTTGATTATACAATATATAATATAAAAATATAAAAATATAATAAAAACAATATATTATATTGTTTTTCGTCTAAAAATCAATTATTGATAACAAGCGCGAGAGGACTAAACCTTATGTTTGCTCTTTTAAATGCGTTCAAATAAATAAATTTTTTAGTCTATACTCTTTTACACATAACCGTACTGGATTTATAAATAATGAAATGTAAGTAAATTTATTTATATGCTGGTATGATGAAATATTACAATTATAAAAATCATTAATAAAATAGTTAGAAGTTCAACATAGTTGACTTTTTATGGCCACAACTGCAAACGAGAGCATACTTATTTTAATATCTAAAGAAATGACTATTACATTAGGAGATTTTTATAGGCAACACAATTTCCATTAGATGTTAGAGGTGAAGTGCTACGTTAGACGCCAAAATGAATGAAAAATCTGTACCAGGGATTCATGAGACAATGTTTTACTTTAAGAAACAACATTCGTCGTCTGCCCAACAATCGGCAAAAAATAAGACAACGCGATCAAGAAATGGTTGCGTTGTCCAAGAAGTGGATATCGGTCGTGACATGTCGTACCGAAAATATTGTGAGAGATATCTAACCGCCGCCAGATTGTATACTGACGGCTGCGGTTCAATACCATGTCATGGAGCCGTTACAAAGGAGTCGTTCTTTCATTTAATGAATAACTCATGTTGTATGTTTAATGTGTAACTGCATTACAATTTTAATTAAAGTTTATCAAAGATCACTGTAACTGCCGACAAATGCGTCGCTAGGATTGGAATTTATTATTGTTGTTTGTTAGCGACTTTATTCGTACAACACAATTTTTGTTTTACATCAGTTCTCCCAATTTATTAAGAACTCAAGTAATTTGCTTTAACCAGAGCCGATAATAAGTTACTTAAATTCTATTAACTAACACTATGACATGGACTAACTTACGATTAGTACCTTTCTGTGTTACGCTATTGGACGTCACAAATGACTAGGTTCCTACCCTCTTCCCATATATATTATAATATATTATTAATATATTGGTCTGTTAAAGTAGTGATATTTACATTGTGGCCAAGTTTGCTATTTCTTTAGTTAATAAACTTCAATTCTAATTTTACGAGCAACAATGTTTCTTTTGTTCGTATCACTTAACAGTTGGTCAGTTTTTAAATGAGACATGAAACAGATTTTGTCACAATTTCCTATTAATCTTGCGAGAAGATCTGAATTTTGTTATTTTTTTTCTAAATTCTCTCCTTTCCATCTGCCATACTTGGTAAGTTTTTAATTTAAAATTATACTCCGTAAGGAAAATCAAAAACATATGTTTCGAAAAAAGTGTTGGCAACTGATTATTGTGTTGGACTCTTCAATCATAATGTATTTTTTGTCCTACTAAAATAATGCTTAGACATTCTTCATATAACGCTAATTAGTATTCTATTTGAATAAAAGACAGTGCTTTTTACTTTAAAAATGTATATATTAAGTACCCAACCTGTTGATACACCATAAGTACTATCACGTTATCAAATCACATATAATTCATGATTGGATAAATANTTTACAATCTAAGAGTACATGTGTTATATGTAAACATCTATATATAATTTGAATTTACACGACTGTGAAGTTAGCAATTCCTACATAGCAATTCCTTATCACATATAAAACTCAAATACACCGCTAGAGGGCGCCACTTATTTAAAATATATGTTTTATTATTAAANAATTTCAATTTTATATTTAAATCAAATTATTAAAATTTTACCATGAGTTATAAGCTAATTAAAGATTTATATTAATATGCAAATTATTAATTAAAATGATTCCATTATAATTGTGTAAAAACTGTAAGAACAGAAATGGATTGAGCAATTAAGAATATGAACCATGTACAGCTTTGAATAAGATAATACTAACAAGGTAAAAATAAATGTGTATATCTGTTTTACCAAGAAAATGCTCGTATTCATATTAAAAAAGACTAGCTAACCACTTTTCACCTTAAATTATTAACTACTATTATTATGTCCAAAATAATTTATAGAAGAAATTTTTATTAACTTGAAAATAAGTATTGTTTAAGAATGCAGCTGTTAAATGGTAATAATTTCACTAATTAGGTTATTTTATCTTATACTTAGAAAAATGATGGGTACTATTGTAAAACTTGATTGGCAAAATACAGCTGAAGGTAAAACTATCATGCAACATTTTTACAATCCACAAAATAATGGAAGAAAGCTATTTGGTAATTTTTTGTTCTTTCTATAAATAGTTTTTTCAAATTTTTTACTTTACTCTCAAGGAATATTAGAGCGGCCTTTGTTACCAAATGTTGAAGAAGTATCTTACAAGCTATTTTTTGTTGGTAAAAGTGGAACAGGAAAATCTGCCACAATTGCTAGGTTAGCAGGAGCTCCAGAAATTAATGAAGAGTATATAGAAACACGAGGAATTCGTAAAACTAATATTTACTGGCCTGCTAAAGTATGGGATAGAACAATTTTATTTAGACTTCAATGCTGGGATACAGGTGATAGGGATTTAAAGAAGTTTGGTCATATATTGCCAGTAAGTATAATGCTGGATAATATTTGGAATTTTATTTTTAATGTTCATAATTTTAGGCTTGTACTGAAGAAACTGATGCAATAATATTCATATTTTCATTTAACGATCCAAGTGGATTAGATAATATTTCAACAAATCTTCCTACATTTATGAATCATAAAAGTAATCCTGCTCCTATTGTGATTGGAACTAAGTAATGTATTTTTATTGTATTAAAATTAATTAAAATTATATTTATAAATTATACATTTTTTTAATTAGATATTGTCCTGGTGATTTTACTGCAAAAGTTACAGTTTCTGACATTGAGGAGTTTGAAGCCACTCAAAAAATAAACATTCTCAAAATAAATAAAACTGTTGGTAATTACGATCAAAATGAAATCGATCTTACATATTTTACATTAAATGTAATTTGTGAGCAACTGTGGATTAGAGATCAAAATTATATTCTTAGTCAAGAAATAAATTCATCACAAATTGTATAATTTTCAGTTAATATTAAATACATAAATTTTATAATAAATTGATTGTATCTATACTTATTCAACAGACTAAATTTCTATTATTTTTATTGATACTCAATTTTTTTTAAATATTGTACGAGAGAGTATTGTTGATGAGTGTGTGAATATTATTTTTATAAATATAAAGTTATAATTTTCTGATTAATATTTTATTAATGTACTCAAGTGTTTTTATTTTTCTTGATACAATGAAAAATAAACCAATTTTTACTTTAATTTTATCAAATGATCTAGTACTGATATTCTAGTAATTCAAAATGTATATGTTCGCAAGTATGTCATATTTTGAACCATACAGTAATATTACTTTATGTTAGAATAAGTGTTACATAAATTACACGAGTTAGTATCAATTTAGTGAAAAAAGAACTAGTGATATCTCTTATCTTAAATTGATTAGTAGTATCCCGGCATGATTGTGATAAAAATTTACTATTAAATTTTTGTTCATTCAAGTAAAATGAACTTTTTTTATTTTATTAAATATTAGTAATTATTATTAACATTCTTAAAATGTTGTGCATTCAAACTTTAATAGGTGTAAGAAAATTTTATAGGGTACCATCAACTTTGTAAGTTAACATAATATGCGATATTTAGAGATTTTATCCTTTTTTCATTAACATTATTATTCATAAAATTATATTGAACTATATGTAATCATTAATTTACTATCATTTTTAGATTTATTAGAAAACTTGCTGTTCCTCAAACATCTATAATTACAGAGCCCTATATAATTTCGGAAGAAGGTAAAAAAAGATGTGAATGTTTTAATGTAAAACAACTGATACATCTTTATTTGTATTAACTAGACATAAAAAAGTTAAGAAGAACATTCACATCACCACGGAATGTAGTATCAAATTATTTTAATCAAGTTGAGCGTTCATCACAAGTGAAAAAAGGACATAGTTTTAGCTTTCAAAAGAAAAAGAATGAGTGGAATTGTCAGTTGAATATTAATTGGCCAAATCATATTGCCTTCACAAGTGCTGCCATATCCAAAACAAAAGCTGCAGAAATTGTATCATTAAAAGCAATAAAATGGCTCCAAGTAAGACATTATCTTATGCGTTAAATCTTTAAAAATTTTCTTTTTTTTTTAAATTTTCAAACATTTTTTATGTTAAATAATTATCAGTCTATTTTAAAGCATTTAAAAATAATAACCATGTTTTATAAGCTGTAATTTTTTAAGGAAATGAATCAACTTGACAAAAAAGGAAAACCTATTCTGGTAACAGAAAAGCAACGTTTAGATATTGCCCATTCTCCAGTAACATCAATAGATTTAAATGAAAAAGACATCATACTAATTTCAAATTTATTTAAAAAATATAGACAAGTTAGTAAATACATATTTTTTGTTAAAAATAAATTATAGAGTCTACTTTTAGCTTCGATGCGAAGCTGAGAAGGTATTGGTTTTACTAAGATGTGTTTTTTTTTTTTTTTTTGTGTCTGTTACCACTTTTTCTCAGCTCTCACCGAACCGATTTCTTTCAATGATACGTCAAAAGTTCACAAATTGTATCTAGTTGAAGACATTACCCTCAAAAATTGAAAAAAAGTCCCTCGTTCCCCGTAAATGGGGGAAACCTCCAAAAAAATTACGAATTTAAAAATCACTAATTTTCGAAATTTTTTCAATTTTTTTTACTTAAAAGTGCCATAACTTTTTTAAAAATAAACATATCAATATAATTCTTTTTTATATAGATGCATAATATCATTACCTTTCATTTGGTATATTTTTTTCATAAATTTAACCCTTAACCTGCCCACAAGGGGGGATTTAAAATGACAACTTTTTCACAAAAAATTAACTTTTTCAACTTAACTTTTGAAAATGTTCCGGAAGGTCTGACACTTTTATATATATCTTAAATTAAAGCTAATGTAATGTTCTTTATTATGCAAAAAAAAAATTTCGGACTTTATTTTATCTTCACGGTGAAAATGGCTACCGAATGCTATTTTTGTGTGAAAATTTTCGATTTTGTATTTTACATTTTTAACTTTATTATGCTATAACTTTTTGAAAAATGTATGGATCAGTACAATTTTTTTATGAGGAGTAGTATTCATATACATCTTTCATTTGACATACTGTTTTTTTTAAATCGGACTATTTCCTTATGTACGAGGGGGGTTCAAATCTAAAAAATGCATGTAAAAAGTAGAACTTTTTCAACTTAAATTTTGAAAGTGTTTCGGAAAGTCTGACACTTTTATATATATCTTAAATTAAAGCTAATGTAATATACTTTATTATGGAAAAAAAAAATTTCGGACTTTATTTTATCTTCATGGTGAAAACAGACATCAAAGTTTATAAAAAAAATACGATTTTTGTAAAAAAATTCTTTTTTATATTTTTAACTTTATAATGCTATAACTTTTTGAAAGATGTATGGATCAATATAATTTTTTTTTTATAGATGCATGATGTCTTTACCTATCATTTGGTATATATTTTTTTTATATCTGACCCTTTACCTGCCCACAGGGGGGGATTTAAAATGACAACTCTTTCACAAAAAATTTACTTTTACAACTTAAATTTTGAAACTGTTCCGGAAAGTCTGACACTTTTATTTATATCTTAAATTAAAGTTAATGTAATCTACTTTATTATGCGAAAAAAAAATTTCGGACTTTATTTTATCTTCACGGTGAAAATAGCTACCGAATGCTATTATTATGTGAAAATTTTGTTTTTTACATTTTTAACTTTATAATGCTATGACATATTGAAAAGTGTATGGATCAACATTATTTTTTTATGAGAAATAATATTTTTTAATAATCCCTTTTTCATTCGACATACTTTATCTTAATTAAGATATTAATAATGAACTAGCAGATCATGTAGCTTTTGGAATAATACACAAATTTTTAAAAATTAAACACTATCTAAAGATTTGCATCAAAGCGTTTTTTATGATAGTGATTTTAATCACTGTCAGATATCATTATACTTGATCCATCTATGCTACGTCACCACTATGCCGCGACCCCCCTGTGCTGGGTTTTTTTATTAATAACATTTTTTTGATTATTTTTTTATTTTAATAAAAATATATTAATTAATATAAATATATTAATTTTTTTTGAAATTAATAAATTCATATTGTATACCTTTTTTATTATGAAGTTTATACTCTATTATTAATTCTATAATTACAAAGTTATGGAAGCGATATAGCACTAATATTCTCTTAAATAATTAATATAATGATAAAGATTTGTTTTTTGTTTAAAGAGAGTTGTTAAAATATTTCTTATGTATAACTTAAGTTATGTTATTATAATCTTAGGTATGTATTTAAGTGTAAACTATTAAAATATGAGAATTATTTTTTTAGTCATTAATATGAATAGGTACAATAGTTTTATATTTTTTACCAAAAACCACTATAAACAAAAAATACAAGTATTTTCTTACTAAATTTTAATATATATAAACATTGTTAAAATATCTTTTCAACTGAGTCTCAAAGATCTTCTATAAGAAAAAAAATTAATAATCACACTTATTTTTTAGGAAGTTTTACCCGTGATAAATGAAGACACTAATGAAAATGTTATAGATAATTTATCTGAGGGTATGTTATGCTTAAATTATTATTTTATATTTGGATATAGTTTGTGTTAAAAAGTACTAATTTATTTTGAACATCTACGGCTATAGAAAATTCTATTGAAGATCAATTTGTAATAAGTTATTAAGTTTTTTTAAATTTATGGTCTTTATTATGATTTGTGCCACTCTGTAAATTCTGTCTAATATTTATTGTATTTTTAATTATTGATTATGATATTTTAACTAATTTTTGTAATTAGATGAATCTCTTTTTGTTTTACCCAAATTTTCACACACTGATTATAATCTAAGAAATAAGCAATTGTATAATAAATATATGAAAAAATCTATAAAAATATTAAAATTACCAATAGATGATTATAAGTAAGTTAAATATAAACAATTAAAAAGCTAGAATTGTTATTAATATTAATTTAAATTTTATAGAGAATCAATTTTAGAAATTATTCAAAATAACCAAGTAACAATTATAAAGGGTGAACCTGGGTGTGGAAAAAGTACTCGAGTACCTCAATTTATAATAGAGCAATGGAGTGAAGACAAAAAAGGAGCTGATTGTAATATTTATATCACACAGCCTAGACGAATTAGCGCAATAACACTTGCTCAACGTGTAGCCGATGAACGATCAGAATTAGTAATATTTTAGTTTTTATTTAATTAGATTTTTTAAATTTTAACCTTTAGGTTTGATTATTTAAAAAAAAATTTAGAACTTGATTTTTGACAAGACTAATAATCTAGTTTTAATTTATGAGTAAATATTTGTTACTCAAAAAATAATTTATTTATAATTTGTTCATAGTTTTTGTTAGTCATTATTATGTCTGTTAGTTTTAAATATGTATATCACTGTTTAATAAAAATTACAGTTAGGTGATGTTGTTGGTTATCAAGTAAGACTGAATCAAATACTTCCAAAGAAACCAGGTTCTATTGTTTTTGCCTCAAGTGGTATATTACTCCAAAAATTGCAAACTGATCCAGAACTAAAAGAATTTTCACATGTTATTATTGATGAAGCTCATGAACAAGATATAAATACAGAAATACTGTTAATGCTGACTAAAAATGCATTGAAACTTAATAAAAATCTAAAGCTTATCATTATGAGTGCTACTTTAGATGCTAAACATTTTCAAAGATATTATGGAAATAATGCTAAATCTATTTCAATACCAGGAGCAACCTATCCTGTAAAAATTAATTTTTTATCGGTATGCTGCACATACATATTGTTTTTAATAACATAATTACAATCAAAGTATTTGTTTAGGAAATTTTTTTGAAAGAACTAGGTATCGGTCAGCAATCAACTGTTGAACAAGATAATGGCCGACCTTTTTGGAATCCAATTTTAGTAGCTAAAGTTATAAACTGGATTGACAAAAGAAAACCTCCTGGAGCAATTTTATGTTTTATTTCAGGATGGCAAGATATAATAGATGTAAGTTTATAGATGTAAATTTAAATGCTATTATTATTATAGAATAAACTTAATCTATTATTTATTTATTATTATATTTGTATAATGTTCTTATTGTTTAATTTCTTATAATTTCAATATTTAAGGTGAGCAAAATACTTCAAAATTGTTTAAATAGTCTAGAAATTAAGTTTGCTCATTCTAAGCTTACACCAGAAAAACAAATAGAAATTATGAAACCAGCAAAAGAGGGCAAACGAAAAGTTGTATTGGCAACAAATATAGCAGAAACAAGTATAACAATCAATGATATTGTTTATGTAGTGGACACTGGTATGCAAAATGTCTCAAGGTAATAATTTTATTTTATTAAAATGTCAAACATATTTTATGAGCCATTGATTTTATGCTATTTTTTAATTATAAAAGTATTATTTAAGTATACATCATATTTTTCATCAATTCTGAGTAGTTATTTTATTTTTAAAGCATTTTAATACGAATAATCCTGCTAGATTCAATATTTATTCTAATAAATTTTTTTATGAAATAATTTTTAATTAAATAAATATTACTTGTTACATATTCATTTTTATAAATTCGATTATGTAGCATATTTCTAAAATGTGAAATAGATTTTTCTAGCTTCAAGCTATTGATTTTTTATTTATAAATAACTTATTACGACTTATTTGTAATATACATTAAGGTTTGAAATACAAATATTAATTTTTAGTTGGAGTGCAAACAAAGGAATTAAATATTTAGATAGAAGTTGGGTTTCTCAAGCTAATGCAATTCAAAGAAGAGGCAGAGCTGGTAGAACTCAACCTGGTGAATGTTATCATTTATTTTCCTTAGAGCGTTTTAATCAATGCTCTGAGTATCCAATTCCTGAAATTCAAATGACTCCTCTTGAGCATACTGTTCTCAATTTAAAAGTACTGTTAGCTTTTAGAAAAATAAAATTAGTTGATTAATAAGATAAAATATTAATTATAGATACATAGTAATGAAAAAGCTAGGTCAGTATTGTCCAAGCTTTTAAATCCTCCAAATTTAGAAAATATTGATGGAGCAGTTGCAGAGTTAAAACTTCTTGGTGCTTTAGACAAAGAAGAAGGTTTAACAGCACTTGGAAAACGAATTGCAGCTTTCCCTTTTGATCCATCTTTATCAAAAGCTCTTGTAAATTCAGTTTTTTTCAAGTAAAAAAAATATATATTAATGTATATATAATAATATGTAATCAACAAATTAAAAAAAAATTGTTAACTTTTAGATGTCTTGACTCAACACTTACAATTATAACATACTTATCAAGTAATATAAATATTTTTAAAGATGCAACATCAGTCGAATCAAGAATGATAAAGAAAAAGTATTCAGAAAATAGTGATCATTTAGCTGTAGCTAGAATATATTCTAAATGGAATAAAATTCAGAGTTTAAACAAGATGGAGTCAATTGATTTTTGCAAAGAAAATTTTTTATCAGAAGCAAATCTTGTACTAATTTTTAGTAAGTCAATTATTTTTGTTAATATTTTAAAATATTTTTAATTATTAGAAATCATACTATGTTTAATATAATGTTTTAATAATCTTTATGTCAATTTTGTTTAAATTCCTTGAATGAATCATTTTTCTGTATTTTAAATTGCATAAATAAATTATGACATAAAAAATTATTAAAAAATTTGAAAAATACAGAATTAAAATCATATTATAATTTACAGGATTGAGAAAGTTATTTATTCAAAATCTATTCAATAGTATGTTAATAGATAATAATAGCATAATTGACTGTGATGTTAATTCATTAAATTCAATAGATTTATTACTTCCAGCCGTATTGGTTTCTGGTTTTGGAAATTTAGTGTTTAAACGATTTTTTATGCGTTCAAATGGACAAAGAAGTTCAACTTTTATTAATGAGTAATATAAGTCAATTATTGATATCAATAAAAAAATGTCTATGTTTTACTAAATTTCAGTACTGGTATTAAAGTTATAATGCACTCAGAATCAGTAAATTATAATAAAGCACAGGAAAATGAGTTGTTAACTTACTATAGAGAAGGAAGAACTCTAGACCATGATATGGCAATGTTAAATAAAACCACCTACATTCATCCAATATTAGCAGTATTATTTTTTAATGGTCCAGTGACATTTAAACATGTAAGATTTATAGTTTCATAACAAATCAGGAAAAGCTTATTTTATAATTAAGTTTAATTTAAAATTAATTTATTTTATTTTATAACTAATATAATATATTATTTTTTTGTTTTAATTTAGGATGGTGTCAATAATTGTATTATTTATTTAAAAAACAAGAAACGAATCAATTTATTATGTTCCAAAGGGTAATTACAAAACAAATTTTTCTATTTCCAATTTTAAAAAGTTAACATAATTTAAATTCATATCAAATATTTTTTTTAGTGATTGGCAAAATTTAATGGAGTTAAGACAAATTATTAGGAGTTTAGTAGATTACCTTATGAAAACATATGGCCATAATGAAATCACTGAAGAGTCAGATGAAGTCATTTTAAATTTTCGTGATTCCTTATGTTCAGTATTAAACTCATTAGTAAATAAGAAATAGACACATATTCGACATTATATATGATTGTTATTTTTTTTTTGTTAATATTAAATTTCATAATTTTACAGTTAAATTATTTGGTTGCCTTAAAGTTTTAACTGATTTAATTGTTATTTTTTGTATTTTTAAATAAAAAAATATAGGAGAAATTATAATAAATTATAAAGTACTTGTATTTTTTGTTACCTTAATGGGAAACATATAAATGTATAAATATAATAAAAAGAAAAAAAAGAATGAGAGTTAACTTTGTTAGTTAATTATTATTTTTAGTCATGAATTTGAAATTGTAATTTATGATAAACTACTGATAGCTAAGACATTTTTTTTGGAAAGGACAGTCCTTTTACTTTTAATTAAATTTAATATAAATATAGGATTGATATTAAAAGCTGCAAAATGTTTATAATTAACACATAAAAATTTAGATTTTTTAAGCATGGTTTGATAAAGTGGTTCTTAACTCCTTCCTATATGACTATACCTAAAATATAGGCATAAATAATTGAAAAAAATTGTTCGATTATCATCATCATTAATTTGATAAATATTGGATATTAAATCATATTTTATTAAGTCCTAGTTGATCATAATTTATTGAAACCATTTATTTATTTAAATTTAATGAGATAATCTATTTTAATAACAGTTATCATAATAGTTGTTATCAATAGATGACAACAGATAATAAACACAACAGAGAAAAAAAAATGTAATCATTATAATTTATATTTTTTAGTGCATTTAAAATATTTTTTAATTTTTATTTCTTTTGTAAAATTTATAAAGAATACTTTAACGTTGGTTCGAGTGCTATCGTTTTTATATAAGGTATATTTATTAAGATATAAACTTACAAAATGCTTATAGCAAGAAATTTGGTAAGTACAATATATTACTTAATTTAACGTAGTTTCAAGAAAAATTGTTCTTAAACTGAATTTAATTGTAGTGTCAACATAATGAATTTATCAATATTTTTAGATTCGACATTTTATGAAGTTTTCTCAAACTAAAATGAATAATAAACCAAAATTATATATTTGTGTTGGAACTCGTTGTTTAAGCAGTATTTATGAACCAGATTATTTGGACAGACTAAAGCCTGATATTCCAGAATATGAAGAAATCAATGTACAGATAAAAGGGTATGACTTTGCTGTTTTAGAGTCATTTCAAAAATTTGTTCATGCCACAGCAGAAAATATGGATATTGAAGTATCTAATGGGTAAGTTTTGATCTTAACATCATTTAACATTTTTTTTTTTTTAATTGCATTTATTTTCAGAGTAATCAAGTGGTTTATTATAAACCAATTACTATGTATTTGAAATAGTCCTTTACAAAATTATAATTATAAACATGTTTTGCTAGTTTTTGTTTGTAACATTTTTTTTTTCAGTTGGGCATTACCACCAAAAATTATCAATGTTAAGAGATTAGTTCCAAATAGTGAAAATGTAGAAACCCAATATAACCTTAATGTTTATGAAAGAAATATTCAGGTTAGAAACTGCATAAAATAATTATCAACTTATTGTAGACTTTCTTATCTCTTAATAAATGTTTAGGTTGTTGATGTACCTTCAAATAAGCTATCTTTGCTTATTGAAGTTATTGAATATTCTCTGCCTGTTGGAGTTTCAGTATCTATTCATCCACATACAGAGGAACACGAGACATTAAAATATATACCTGACAATGAACTTCAATCATTAAAAGAACAGCTGGAAGAAATGGGTGGATCAAAAAAGAAAAAGTAGAATCATTACAATTTGTTATATATAATAATTTATAACATCATTTTCATTTAGATAAAGGCAGCATTAATAAATTTGTTTGCTTAAATATATGTATAATATTATTTATATGTCTTAATCTTTATATTATTAGTTGGTATATTAGTAAAAAATACACTTTCAGCACTGTTATATTTAATTCATTAAAAAATAAAAAATGAGCTGTAGATTCCTACAATATCAAATTATTAATTTTGATCGCATTAAGTAAATTAAAACTACGTCTATATTTTACTGTAAAGTTTATTTGAAGTTTTCTCTTTTAATTAAAGAAAAAACCATAAGTTAAAATAATTACTGATGAAAAATTGAATTTTTAATTAAATAAATTAACTGTTGGACAATTAGATTTGTAAAAAATACATATTATAAATGTGATACTTCTTTTAATTCTTGTTAGTAGCTAAAATCATTGGAAATTATAAAACTCATTTTGACTAATTTTTATTTTGTTTTCTTTATTATACTAAAATATTTTATATAATTACAAATAAAGTAGAAACAAGACGGTTTTTTGAGTTAATCTTGAAATATCATGAAATTATTATAGCAAAATCAAGTTATTTTATGGAGATTATAAAAAAAGTAAAATGTGATATTTTATTTTCTTATCGATTGGTTTTGTTAGAAAATTTATCTGCAGCTGAAAATTACTAAACACTATTATGTGTCTTTATATAATAAATGAATAATATTTGAGTGCTCTACCTCATAAGCAATTTTTTGAATATTAACTATTTTGATAATTTAAAAATATATATTTTAAAAGCTCATTTTGTAAGCTTTTTAATTATATACTATTTATTAGTATTCTAAATAAAGAAATCGAGTAACAATAGAAAGGATAATAGTAAATAAAACGGCTCATTATTTTCATCATACATTTTAAATTCATAACTCTAATAGTTGACAATTTTATAAATATAAAAAATATTTTATAAATGGTTTTTTATATTTATAAATGGTCAAACATATTTCTTATTAAAGTTCAATATTGTAATAATAATTTTTTCACACCATTTTAAATCCTGGATCATTATGCTATTGTCTAATGAGCTGCTAATATTTAAATAGAATAAAGTCAATGCTTTTTAATATATATATATATATATAGGAATGAAATTTAACATTACTGAATTCATTTTAAACTATTTAAATAACTTTTTTTTAACTAATAAATACTTTTTTATTGTTGTTAAAACTCTTATAACTTGATTAAAATAATAATTTTTTAGAATTTAATTAGAAAATTTTTTCAGATTATAGCTAGTATTAAGTTGGGATAAGTATAATTAATAACTGATTTTTTAAAATTAACTATATAAGATATGAATATATTTTGAAAATTTTTATTTAATTTCATATTAATGATATAATGATAAGTTTAAAGGCCAAAAATTGTTAGCACATTTTTTATCTAACCACAGAATATGTATTTTTAAAAGTCTAACTATATAAATAAATGGAACTGTTAAATTGATTTGGGTATTCCAATTGTCGTTTAAAAATCCTGCCTGATTATTAGGTATGATAAATAAAAAAAAAATGTATTAAACCTTTGCTTTATTGCTGTATTAAAAAAAAATTTAATTAATTTTTTTATAGCGATTTAAATTTTATAATTTTCTTGTTTAAAAGACTTAAAACTTTGTAATGATTCAAAATAATTTGACTTTTCATTCAGTGTTAGTCCTGATTTTTTTCGAATCCACGTCTCATTCTATTAACTGGATTCAAATCTTTTAATTTTTCAATGCTCATTCCTGGCATATGGGGCATAGAGTGGTCACCCATCATTCCACGTTCAGGTAATGATGGCATTGACGGAAATCCTGATGATATTTCAGACGGCATTGGTGGGAATTGCGGTAATGCAAATGAGTGAACAGCAATAGCAAACACTATAAATGTAACCTAAAACACAAAGTTTAAGTAATGTGTTTTTAAAATTTTCGAATTGTCTTTTAAAACATACATTTTTTTTACGCTGAGAACCGTGAAATATAATTTATATTATGTAAAATATATTCTACTTTTGTTCAAAACTGTATGTATGTATTTTAAAAAATCGTTAAAGCTTATAATTTCTAACTTTATACTAAAAAATGTTTATCTTTTAGTTATTCCAGCTATAGGTAATTAACTTTTAAATTTGAAAAAGCTATAACGAATGAAGTCAACTTTGTCTGATAAAATAATTGTGAATTGGATAAAAATATATCAACGTTTTTTAACTAGTATGTCGTCAAAATGTTGTTAATAAAGTGTAAAATAATATCTGAGGGTTTATTCTGAAAGAATATCGATAATCGAGTATGATAACATACAGAATGATTCTTTTATCAAGAACCACTTAATTAATCGAAAATAAAAATAATATTTTTGTTGGTTTTAATAATCAATCATGAAGGATTTTTTATGCTCATATCGTATATCTTACAAACATGTAAACATTTTTTTTTCAAATGGTAACATATATAGTTAACTAGTTTATTTATTATATATTGATTAAATTAACGAAATTTTTAGTCAATAATAACTTTTAGAGCAATATTACAGAAGTTATTAACATTATTATACCTAAGCGGGAAGAGAAGTGAGGTCAAAAATATCTGAATTTAACAGCTTTCACGCCTAACCTCCAACCATATATTTAAATTGTTTAGAACTTTTGAAATACTGATCCAAAAGTTCTTAATTGGATAATTATATAATTAATAAACTAGTCAATTATGTACGTTACCATTTGAAAAAAATAATGTTTACAATCTTGTAAGATATAATTAATGAACATAAAAAATACTTCTTGGTTGATATTGAAAAAATATTGGAATTAAAAGAAACTAATAAAAAAATTATATACCAATATTTTTTTTATTTTATGAATAATTTTGTGTTTTTTTTATAAAGAAGCACCCTGAAAGTCATACTACAAATATGATTTATAAAAATAATTTGAAATTTATATAAAACAAAATAATAAATATATTTTAAATATCAATTATTCATTATTAGACATTTATATAGCGTTGTTTAATTTAAATAGTATTTTACTTACAAAATAAATTCGATTCATGTTGTTTTTGTTAATTTCTATGTAAAGTTCTTGAGATAAAGTTTTTGTAGAGTGTGGCCAAGTTAACTACTTTTTTTCTTTGTGGTGTATAATAGAAATAACATGCCTTTTTATAAGTATTAAAAACCAGGGAGGGTAGAATTAAAGTGTAATTATCACTCAACTGTATAGGTCACATACATTATATTACTAAATGTGATTGAAATTAATTATTTAAGTAAAAAACCATTGTAACTCTAAGTATAAACTTGATCTTCTGTGAGATTAATCATAAGAATCTGTCAACATGGAGTAATTAAATATGACAATGAGATCTTTGTAATAACGCTTTTTAATAATACATATAATTATTTTTAAACGGAAATTATTATATTCTGTACATGTTTTTTAAAATTTTTATTTCATTGTTATAATGACGTCAATGTATAAATAAATAAAATATAATTTTAAATAGTCTTCTTTCATATAAGTTATTTAAGAAATCATGGGCATATTTAGAAATTTATAATTGACTAGCTTCCATGAAAACTTTTTTGCAACTATTTTTACTCATCTTTAATGCGTAAACTTTCATCTAATTCTGCGTTAATACAATAGATTTAGAATATTGACTTGAATCAAAAAAATTCCTGAAATAATACTATTGATTAAGAAGTAATAATATAATGTAGATTTGAGCGCAGTACTTAAATCAGAAATATTTCCATTTGATATCAAGATTCATAAATTTTATTTTACTTAATTGATTTAATTGAACATTATATTTTAATATAATTTATTTATAAATTACACTAAAGTATATATTTACTATTTCCTTGCATAGTTTGATTTCTATTGAATGTTGATTCTTTGTTCAAAAATAAATGATAACCTAAAATAAAAATAATATTAATTATATCTGTATAAATTATTTCTAGGGCTAGAAAAATTATGCACTAAATAAAATCTTACACTTCGTGCAATGAAAGTTATCAATAATACGATAAAAAACGCTTTTATAAAGTAAATATTACTTCAACGCATAAAATTTAGCTGAATATGTTTTTAAAAACTGAAATACAATATACTAAATTACACACATTTAAAAGTTGAAAACTAACAACTTTCAGAACACTTAAATAAAATTTTATACCTGCTTACCATGTTTGTTATTTTTTATTATGTTACATTCAATTGTATGTTGAAATATGTAATTGTGGGAGAATAAACGAAATGATGATTCATATTTTAAACTCAATTCTTGAATAGTTTTTACGTAATTTTCAACCTCAACAATTATTCTTCCTAATTTAAGTACCATTTCTTCGAAATCCTCTTTGTTTTTTACTTCTATAGAATCATCATTTTCGAATTTTAAAAGACTAAGTGACATAACGTTAAAACATCGATTATAAATCGTATTGATCCATTTGGGTTTTATAGTCTGTAAATATTTTTTGTTTGGAAATTCAACAAATTTTTTAAATTCAAACAAAGTTGCACTCAAATGGTAATATGCGTTTCCAGTGTATATATTTGCTGATATTAATAATTCAAACGCCTTAATAATCAGCTGTCCTTTGTCATTAATGTATTGTTCGTAAATTTCGGCCCTCGTATTTACGTCAGCAAATTTGTCTTCTCCATTATAGAATATTTTTTTGACGATTTGTACATATGAACCAATACATGAATAAACAGGATGAACTATAGCTGCTAAAACTTGTTGATGAAAAGATTTTAAGCAGGTTGTATCGAAGACTCGTTGAGCCATATTAAATAATATTATCATATTTGCTGCCTTATTATCAACCAAGTTTTCTTTTAAAATAATACTTCTTAGCATGTTTAGAGAATTTTCATAAAACTTGTTTGAAAAGAGATCGTAAAATAAAATATATTTAGGTTGAAGTATTTGATAGTATGAAGGAATCAACCATAATTGACTTGTTAAGAAATTTAAATCGATGACACTTTGATCTAAAGTATTGAATGTGTCCATCACTGATTTGTTGAAAAAACAATTGGTGGCATCTAAATTCCATGATTCAGGTAAAAGATAATTCAACTCATCGAGCTCTTCCAAAGGATCACGAAGAAATACAAAAGGTGTATTTGCTTTAGTATTATTTAATTTACAATCGTATTTTATGCTCAAAGTAATACTTTCAACTAATTTGTTATTTGCTTTTTTTAATTCTGAAATTAATATATTTTTTTCATTATTTCCTGTATAAAAAGTATTATTTACTCCATCATATGTTCTTAGCATTAATGTTCCAAGATTATTATTCAAATATAAATTTAAATTTAATAATCCTTGTGATTTGTCAAACTCATGATGATTGTAATTTAAATAATTCACCATATGTAAAACGGCGTTTCCTATAGATCTTAAGTCTTCTTCGTATTCTATTAAATTTTCATAAAAATACGGTTCGCATAAAAACATTTTATCGAAATAAACATCTTTTGTTTTTAAGTAATAAAGCATATATTTGTTAAATCTACAAGTATTTAAACTATCACTCAAAACAAAGCCATATAAAATAAAAATATTAAAAAGTATATACTTCTGTATCATTGTTTTATATTTTTAAATGGAAATTTTTATTGTACAGACGAGGTTATGGTAATGAACTGCTTCACTGTTAATATCGTATCTTTTATTTATTCAATGACTTTCACAATTAATTATTTTTATTGCTTTAATTACTAATATGCGTATCACTTCTCTCTTAGCCCCCTTCTTATAAAGTATCATTGTATAAAATTGTTCATTATTATAGTAAGGGTGTTAATTTGAGAATGTTAAATATTATGATTTATTATTTACAATAGATCATATTGTTTATAGTAATTATCTATAATTACTACACATTTTTCTTCTTATTATTCATCATAATCTATAAAACTGAAAAATCTTTGTTTACATTATACATTTTTCCTTTCATTTACAAGTTATTATCCTGTTTTCTGAAGTCCTAAAAGCTAATGAATATTTGGCATTACTCTCATGTTAAAAATTTTGATCTGTATGAATTAAAGTTGACTTAAAGGGTTGTAAGGTTTTGCGCAAACATTTGTTGTGGGGTCATTAATAATTTTACAATAAAAGTCTATGTAAACATTTTAACGACTTTTTTATTTCTCTTTAGTAAAAACTCGTTTAACCTCACAAATAATTTGTTTTGAATAGTCTTTTTCAAAAAATTTAATTAATAAGTAGAATTAAGTAAAATAAATAATGATTTAAAAAAGGACAAGCTACAGATAATAATAATTTAAGTAGTGGTCCTAAGAGGTGTCTATACCCCTCAAATATTCATCGTTGCTAGTCCTGACCATAACTATAAATGTAATATTATAACATGTATAAAAAAATGTAGTCTCTTAGTTGAATAATTATTAATTCATAACACGATTCTTATTTAAAATTACAAAATTCATAATAGTAACAAGTTTTGTTACCAAAGAAGGGAATAATTTTATGCTCTAAATTCAAAATTCAATTACTCAGTTATTTTATTTTATTACAATTTTTTGTAACTTCTTCAAAAGTAAACATTACATATTTAAAAATTAAATAACTGTTATATTTGCTACAAATAAAATTCTATCCTTGATTTAATGAGACAAACAACGAATGTATAATATCATAGAGGTGTCTGTGCCTCAATAAAAATTTTTGTATGGTTTTGTTATAAATTGAATTTTTAATTCATATTGCAAGTCATTATTATTATTATAATTACTATTTATTTATTAACACAACAAGCCAAAAATAAAATGTAAATTGCAGCATTTTCAATATTTACATAAAATAAAATAATAATACAAATATAAATTAAGTAAGCAATTATAAATATGATTTAGTATTGAGAAAAGTATTAAAAGTAATTAGGACAATTTCAAAATTAGGAAATTTCAATATTAAATATAATTAATATTAAATATTAATCATTATAAATAATTTATTATAATAAGATAACTATGAAACATTAGTATAAATATGTATATTACAAACTTACCTGGGATTCGAGATATTTTAAATGATTTAAGCGGACTGTTCCTATACAGAGCCGCAAACTTAATACAATTGTGTATTCTTGAAACAGCAATTAATATTATGCCAATTTCTATAATAAATATGATTGCGGTAGACACGTCTAGGGAATATAAGTGGCATGGTAATCAACAACAAACCAGTGGTAGTTAATGATTTCCCCGAGGATGCCTTAAGGGTATGTACATGCCGTTTGACGTATAGGTTGTGACAGTAACAAAGGTGGTTTAAATATGGCCAAGGGAATGAAACCTATACTTGAGACGGTAGTCACGTCTTATTTGTAATTTAAAATTTTAACAACACTAGAAAAAGCGCTTCGATGCGATTTTTTATATGGAAAAATTAGAAAAAAAGAAATTGAAAAGTTTTAACGGAAATTTTACAAATTTTGGCTTTTCCCACCAATTACTCAAAAAATAAAAGTTCTTGAGACATTTTTATATTTTTGATTTTGAAGTAGATTTTAAAATGTTTCAATTTATAAAGGTTTAAAGGATACAGACGTTCTGGAACATTTTTGAAAATTGAAAAAGAATAATTTTATATGCGCTTGTTGCTACGTTCGAATAGTTCTTATAGTTTGGGGTTTGATTAGATTTTCATAAAATACATATAAAAATAAAGAGAATTAAAATTACTGTTAAAAATTTTAACTGTGATTTTAGTTATATTGAAAAAGTTATACTTAGCTAAATGAAACAAATTTGGCAAATTTTAATAAAATTGAAAGTTTTCAACGGCCAACTTCTATATGAATTTAGGATAGGTATTTGAAACGGCCGATATTAAACTTTCAGTTATAAAATTATTCAATTATAAAATAAAAAATGAATAAAAGTTAATTTATAATGTATTTTAAATTATAAACAAACTAAATTAAAAGTTATTTATTATTTAACAATTACTTTTATAAGACGAACCCCATATTTTCTCTAGTATTCATTCAATCTTGAATGTATACTTAAAAATACATAATTTCCATATTATAATTTAATTATTAAAATCGGGCGTTCCAGTGCTCCACCTTGTATACAAAGTAAATAAGCCATTTGGTCTATGAGAAAAATAAATATTTAAAAAATCACTAATTTTACGGGTATTGTTTGGAAAGCTCGTTTTTATCCATTTGGACCTAATATATGTAAATGAAAACTTTTTTACAATATTACACCGATAAAATAAAATTGGCAAAGTTCTGCAATACCACTTATCACCACTTCCTTCTGATTCGTTTCTGATTGTATATTAAAACATTGAAAACTTTAAAAAAGTTGAATTTAGAAAAATAGACTCGAGAAAATTATATCTATTACGATTTGATATTGTTGCTCGATTGTATTTGCTGTCAGAAATAATAAATAAGTAATCGAGATATAGAAACAATAGGGTTACTCGCAATCAAATCAAAAGCATTGATTAAAGCTCTGTTGTGAAACCTATTGTAAAATAAGTTTTCTAACGTTACTCATAAAAATCAGCTGTAAGTTTTGCTGTGGTCTCTGAAAAAAAAAAATCCTATGCTGCAGAGACGTTACAATGAAAGAGAATTTGACATTTACCCGAATATCCACACACACATTTTTCTTATCGTTTCTTTTCATTTTACTTTTGAATGCAGCGTGGCCGTCGGTTCCAACAATGAACATCAAGCACACGTTTGATTTATGATAGCCAAGTTGAGATTCATTTACGGACAGTCGATTCGCCATCATCAAGTTCATAAGGGTATTGCATATCCTTTCATGCTAACAACGCAGTCAAATGTCCTCAAAATTCACAAAATTAACCTGTTTCTCATTAAATGCTAATGTGTTTTATGGTATAGTGTGTTCAAGCAAATCTATTAAAGTTAACTAGCTATTATAGTTTTTATATGTTGAAATAACAGATTATATTCGTCTAAATATATTTTTCATAGACGGTAGTTAATATGGATAACTACTATGGAACTAATATAGAAATAAAAGAGGCAAAAAATAATAGGGTAGCAAGTCTCTCAGTACTTCTTGCGACGATATTACAAGATTTATCTGCGTTGCTAAAACATGAGAGATCAAAATATCAAGTCGAGAAATATCCAAGAGAAAAACAACTACTATTTGTCGATTTGCGTAAATTCAAAGGGATTATTTAAAATAAATTTCGAATTTTTTTAATTTATATTATAATACTTTGAAAAATCCAAATAATTTCTATCATTAGTGTGCACAAAAAAAAAAAATAGTAATCTAAATTGTTCATAAGATGTTTAAATCCAATTGGAATAATCAAGAAAAACTATTTTTATTATTTGCTTACTGTCGCAATTTATATACAACTCATTACACGTGATTACTACACACTCGTGTGTAAAAAATAAGGATCTTAAACTAATTGTATCCAACGCCGTACGTAATCTTATATTATTTTCAAAGCTTCGGTAGCGCAACAATAAATATAAAGAACTGGGAGACTTCAAAAATCTCAGAAAGAATATAAACCACCCTTTGACCCGATACTACTATTGTTTACTTATTATACTTATGTGAGGCCACTACGAGAGAAGAGTTACTTATTTCTGTATGTTTAACTTACACGTCGCCTGTTTTATATCCGACAATGATATTATTGATTCAGATTTTCCGCTACTATACTCGTGTTCGGTTTTATTTCCCTAGCTACAAAATTTAATGTTTTCAAATCGACAAAGTTCCATTTATAAAAATGTCTGTCTGGGCAACTTTTTGAATTTCAGAACATAACACTTATTATTTTTTAATGAATCAACCCCATTTTATTTAACATGCTATTTTTTAATTAAATTATGCAATGCCAAGAAAAACCATACATGGTTTTCTTTTTACACTAATCGCTAAACATAGACTTTTGTTGTAGCGTACTGTATTTAGTTACATAATTATAATATTTTTAGCTAAGTTTTATACGTATTTCAACAATAAATGACGATTGAAATCATTAATTATTTAAATGTATACTAAAGAGAGCTTGAAGTTAATGCTCTTAGGGAGATTAATCTTATCTGTTAAATTTTAGAAATAAAACACTATGCTATGCACTAAATCTATGAAAATGTGTTTTTTAAACACATTTTGATGTTCTATAATACTTTAAATAGATTTTTGTTCTTTATACGTGTACTTAAACAATCGAACTATACTTAAGATTAAAACTATAGTTAAAATTTCAGTGAATTTCTTGTCAACTTTAATTAATTCTCAGATAATTTATCAAATGTAAGTATTCTGTGCATACAAATTATTACTATAGTAAAATAGAGACAAATAAGATCCAAATTCCTAGTAAAAAATTGTGTAACATAGGATTATTAAAAAATTGAGAATTTTCAGAGTATTATGTCTTATAAAGAAAAAGTGGCTAAAGTAGAAAAGAAAAAATAATGACGCAATTACTTCAACGGAAGTTTTTAATAAAGGTACTCTTTTAAAAAGTTGTTATTTTAGTTAAAATTGATCAAAATTAAAAACATAGTGAGGTAAATGTAATTTTAAATAATATTCTGTTAAAATAATTCAACTATTTTGTTCTTATGACTATACTTCAAACTGAACAATTATATTGTGTGAAAATATTAAACGTAAATTTAATATTAACAACTAGTTTAATTGTATAAAAATGAAGGATAAATATACGATTGTCTTTTAGAGATTAATAAAAAATAATTGCTATAACCAACATGTAATTATTTTATTATTTATGAATACAACGTAAATAATAATGAATTATTGTCTG